CTGGTTTATGAATGTGTGTGTGAATGGGTGAATGAGAAACACATTGTAAAGCCTCACGTGAAGTAAATGTTCACCAGCTTTTACTTTGAAGGTCATTATGAAGACTAGTCCTACATGGAGGTATCTTGTTTTTATCAGAACAGCCTCAGTTATCCAGATCTTGTGTCATTTTATATGATTGTACCTGCAGATTATTTATATTAGCCTCTACATCAAGGGCAATAAAACAACCTATATGCACCCCTGCCCTACAGTAACTTTAAATCCTGAAACAAAGCCCGACTAGCGATCCTTAGAGACGGATTCGCTGTCACAAACTCTCCTTTTAAAATTGTCTGGCTTCCTCAGTGACATTCTTTAAATCCCCTTTAAAATCTCCTTTTTATCAACCTGCATAATATTGTTCTTCTTCCTACTGAAGCGCCCGTTCACTGTCTGCCACAACGCCTCTTTGTCTTTTAAATGAGAAAGGAGGTAAAATGGCCGCGGTCGCCCCTGCAAGACTCCCACGTTCTCCTCCATCCTCCCCCGGATCTGGCAGCTCAGCAGGACGTCCACGGCGAACAGTTTGAAGTGTGCCCTCTGTGATCCGGGGGGACTTTTTGATCAGACTTGTGCAAATTACCCGTCCGCCCTGCCCGGCAGCCTTGGGCGGCGAGCGCACACACTCAGAGGCTCACACTGACAAAGTAATCCCGGCAGCCGAGCAGAGGCCAGCGCGGAAAGATGTTCAGAAACGCCCTGGACCCGGCATCCAAACACGCACAGCGGGGGGGCTCTGTTAGGTCCATCTGCACAGGAAGAGAGCCCTTGTTGGGGATTTAGCCGACTTATGAGGAGGGTTTGGAGCCCAGAGAGGAGGAGGATCACTCACACGAAGCTTCTTCAGCGCTCGCTGTGCATAAAGCCTCGCATCTGGGCGAAACTGTGGGGGGAAGAAGAAGAAGAAATCGCCTCCTCTTAGTTCCCCAATCCCCTCTTACGGCTCACTTACTTCTGCCGCGGTCCTCTAAAGGGCGATTCATGCTTTGCACGTTTGAAAGCAAACTACGGAGGTGGTTACTAGAGAACAGGCGCACATCGGCCTGCTGCACGGAAAGGATGGACACCAAAAATAATAATAATCTAAATTTACTTTGAAAATCGAGGTTGCAAAGTGCTTCACGGGGCACGAAATACAACAGACAAGTCATAAAGTCGTTATTAATAAGACAAATAAAAGCACAATGTGGTGAATGAAGCCAACACGGAGTTAAAGAGGTAGAAAAATGATTTTCTAAACAAGATTCAAGGCCTTTATTGGTCACAAACTCAATTATACACAGTATAAGGGGCAGTGAAATGTGTTGTGCACGTGTTCCAGAACAATAATTATAATATTAGTAGTAAGAAGAATAAAGAATAAAACACACAGGAAATATATATATATATATATATATATATATTTCCGGTTATTTTACAGAAAACTGCTGCTTATATCATAGAAAACAAGCGTCAATTTACACGTTAAACATAAAAAGGCCAAAACTGTACATAATGTCCACATTAATAATCAGAATTTTTACAAATCGTACTATAAAAAATGTTTTATTTGCTGTTTGCTGCCTTATGAAAGGAATAATTATGTATTTTAAGGATTGAATGATGGTGAGTCTATTATATAGCTGTTTTTTTTTTTTTGGCAGATTTTCTTGTTTTGTTTAATTACAGATAATATCTCATAAAATCACACACAAAAAGTGATAATTTAAAATACATTATTTGTATTTAATTTCCAAAATCAATATTTTTGCAGACAGTCATTTGTTTCTTTACAATGTGTCACCATGAAATTACAGAGTTTTATTGTTTTAACATTTGTTTACATTTTTAGCTAGTTTATGTATGTTTCACTTTATTTCCACAATTTTTGAATGTCACAGTAATTCACCATTTTTTATTCTATTTTTTCTGGCATCATGTTTTTATTTACATATTTTTTTTCCCGTGCAGCAGCAGATTACAGATAATATACAGCTCCAGGTTAACATGATTATTCTGGAGCACACTGGGAAGACTACTGAGAATTTAGAGTTTCAGATTGAAGACGTACAAATCAAAGCTCCTGTAGCGACTACTTCAGTTACAGTTCTGTCATTAATGACTTATGCAGGTGGAGGTGACGGAGAATCGCCTCATGGAGCCTCTCCTCATGACAGACATTTGTTTGAAGCTCCACTTGTGCAAAGTTACATCACACCGACCCTTAACATGTGACTGCAACTCCTAACGTTTTTAAGATATGCAGAAAAAAGAATTCCACTGTACTGACATGTACATTTGACAAGTAACGCCTTGTTCTCTTCTCTGTTATCTTATAGAGTGACGTCAACTCCTTTCTGTTAATCTGATGGCATCTAAACGTGTCGGCTTTATGTCTGAATAAACACTCTACTAACTTTTTGGTAATAGGCCCGACTGGTCAACCCGAGTACCATTTCTGCATCGTTTTCAACACGATTTAGTCGCATCAACAGAAAGGCCTAACCAAGAAACAGTACTTCTGCTTGTGTGAAGCAGTTTGGAGAAACATTTTCCACATTTCAGCACCAATATCGGTCCATAAACCACCACAGGGGTGCCAGTAGCAGGTTGGACACAGTAATCAGCCCGTGCTGTAATGTATATCTGACGCTGAAGGCCTCTTCTCTGTTGTCTTGCAGTGTCATGTACGTGTTTGGCGGCTTCAACAGCCTGCTGCTCAGCGACGTCCTCGTGTACACCTCGCCCAGCTGCTCGGCCTTCTCCAGCCCGGCGTCCTGCGGCCAGGCCTGGCCGGGGATCCACTGCGCCTGGAACGGCACCCAGGGGAGCTGCCTGCCCTGGGAGAGCTCCACCGTCGGCCCCGAGCTGCCGCCGCCGCAGCTGCCGGCCTCCTGCAACACCAGATCATGTAGGTGACGCCACTTGTGTTGTGAAAACTAATCCGAGATGATTTCAGATTCTTGATGTAGAACTCATCTGCATTCACGACGTCTGACGGGATGCACAGACTGCCAGGAACGGCTTGTTTGTCACCGGCTGCCAACGCACTTTCTTACATCAAAAGGCGAAAATGGCAAAAAATGTGTCACCGGGGCATTTGTTCTTTTGTTTTTCCTTTCTCTTCTCTGTGTGCGCGTGAGGTTTTGAAATGCAGAAAACGCAGCCTTCATGCATCATCGACGAACTGTCCGGATGCTGTCACGTCCGCGTGTGTGTGATTGTGCGCCGGAACGGAGATCCGCCGATTGCTTCGCTCCGAAAGTGATCACCATCGATTCTGCTTCAAAATCATTTATCAGGCAGTAAAAACTCACCCGCACCACGCGAGGAATGTAATCTGAATACATTGGTTTTTTGGTCAAACAAAACGAGACATTTAAAAGCATCATTCTGGGCTCTGTAATTGGCGTTTTTGACATTTTAAACTGAACTCTTAACCAATCAATCCATCAACCTTTGAAGGAGTTGATCATGAATGTAAGCAGAAGGTTGCTTGATAGTGAAAATACTCTTACTTACTCTTACTCCCGAGTTAAGTAGGAGTCCATTCATTCATACGGGATCCTCTGTGATCTTAGATTTGTTTTAATAAAACTCCTCCTGTTGGTACATTTACAGTCAAAAGAAACTAGTTTATCCACTTCAACGCACGCTAACTGTGTCACAACCAAAATGATCAGAAACTACACTGTAAGCAGACCAACGTTTGACAGCTTTTAACCGTCATTTTTCTCAATTTGTTGCTATTTTGTGGATTTTTCTTGTTTTGTTAAATAAGAGGAAATAAAACCACAGAATGGAAAGTATTATTTTACATTTTACGATATAAAAATAAAACAATTTTGATTCCGAATCAAATGTAATGATAGTAACTATTAGCTGGAGCCCTTTTGTGACTAGCGTGTTGTGGAGCGTGCACGTGTGCGTTCACCGACAACACTTTTGTTATTGCCTCCTCACAATGACCGTGTGTCCCAGTTTGCCGGCTGCCCTCGGTGTCAGACGGGACGGGAGGAGGTAATCACCGGGGACGGTTCAGCCAGGTCGCCTCGCTCCTCGCTGAGGGTTTTTCTTCCGTTTGCTGTTTGTCACAAATAAAAAAAAAAGAAAAAATCCCCCTCCTGAACACGGCGGTCTCATTTTCCGGTGTCGGCAGCTACAGAAGCGCCGGCAGATGGAAACTGCGCCCCAGAATATCTTTCAGGCACATTTAATACCAGGGAGGCCCTTTGCTTTGCTTTGCTTTGCTGCTGTCTGGCAGTCGCCCCGTCCTAGTTACCCCACAAGAAAGCTCATGTCCAGGAAGTTACAACTGCCTCGTACAAGAACCGAACAAGTAAACAAACTCCACTGGACTCATTTTAGACATTTCAGGTGAACATTAAAGCCAAAACAAAACCTGTGCAGTCTGTAATTAAAGGCTGAATATCATTTAGCTAATACAGTCTGACCTCAGCAGTTTCTGGGTGTTTCTTTTTTTTGGCTCCTTTCTTATTTTTACTCACTGTGGGCTCAGTTTTCGCTGCAATATTAAGTCCTGAACCTCTGTGGAAACGATGGACCCTGGAAGGGACATGGAAAGAAAAAAAAAAACAAGGAGAGGAAAAAAAATGGAGGTATCTTTTGTGAGATCTCAGAAAAGTCACATCAGTCTTATTGGATGTTTTTTGGAAACTGTGCCTCTTGTGAAGCACTGCTTAAATGTCTCTATAGTTTAGGCTGATTTCAAAATAAAACTCTGGTACAGGTGGGCGTCCTCCATTGTCATTTCTCCATACTGCCAAAAAGAAGAATATATACCTATAGTTTTGCGAAATCTTGCAAAAGATACCGCTTTTTTTTTTTTCCTCTTCCTGTTTTTTTTTTCTTTCTCCATGTCCCTTTCGGGGCTCCGTAGAAAACACAACAACCATGAATAGAAGTAGAGAGAAATATATTTGTGCAGTAGGACTAAGTTATAATATTATGAAAAAGAAGGGAAAAAATGCAGAAATGTAGCTAAAATCATGTAGGACATGTTTCCAAGTATCCACAGGTGTTACCAATACTGGAAAAATAATGGTGACTCAACCTGCTGTAGATATTTAAGTACATGTTTATCTAGTCTTGCTATGCTTAAACACAGTCTGCAGTTCAGTTATTTTAGAGTTTTTGTCTTGTAACTGTTGGTCACAGCTTCATGTTTTTTTGAACTTCTTTGTGGAATACAGTTGGTTAATTATTCGACTAGACGTGTAGAATAAACGGATTTTGACCAAATGTCACCATCTAAAGCTGATATTTGCTCCATTTTCCTGAAGGAAACTCATGTCAGAAGGTTTACAATCCAACATTCCTTTCTGTTTTCATGGCTTAAATGGCTTCCAAACCCGCTGACAGGGTTTTTGTAGCTTTAAAGGTTCAACAGCAACGTAAAGAAAAACAGAAAAAGTGGGCGGAGTCACCAACACACAGCGTATCCGCCCTTTTTTCTCACATTCGAACAGTTCCTATTGTTATAAAACTGTCTTATTTTAGAAGATATCATATATCCCGTCCTCCCTGACTGTACAGATGCTGACGTTGAGAGGTGCGACCAGTACACCGACTGCTACAGCTGCACCGCCAACACCAACGGCTGCCAGTGGTGCTCGGTCCAGTGTGTGTCTCTGGGAAGCAACTGCACCTCGGCCTCGGTAAGAAAACTCACTCCAATAAGTCCAAAGCTGCAGAGAGAAAAAAGAAAAGCTCGGTTTACTGTGGAGCTGTGAAGATCAACTTTTACCTTCTAGTTGGCTGTTAATGGTCTGTTTTGAACATTAAACATATGAAAGGATGCTTTAGTCGAACAACAGTGGCCACAAAGCTTTAAAATATGATGCTAACATGTGTTTATCTTCACTTTAACCAAAAAAAAAAAAACACATAACATTTTGTCATTCGGGCCAAAATGTAATTTTAAGACTTATTGTAAAACACAAATACACAGTCTCTTATAATCTCGAGCAGTCGTGGAGCTTTTTGAAGAATAATAAACGCTCAGACACAATCGCTCCCTGCAGCCAATTCCAGCAAAACTTTATTTTTTGCGTGTGTTGTCGTTGTCTTGAATAGGACACACAAATGTTGTTGTATTAAGCCTTTTTCTTTTTCATTCCCTACAAGAGTTACTTCACCTCACAACTAGAAACGTGTCAAATCTGCGTAGCGATCAAACCCAGGAGTGATGAAGCACATTCCTGTTTGCTGAACTGACTTTGATTTTTCAATCTGTGATTAAATCCTTCCTCATTTCGATGCTGTCAGACGCACACAAACAGTTTGCGTGTCTCCTCCGCCGCTGTTATCTGCACTTGTCTGTAAATAAATAAGGGTCACTGTGGTTCTATTCAAATAGATGCGTGCCAAGAAGACGAAGAGAAAAAAAAGCTTTTATTTGAACCTTCTTGTCCCAAACTTCCATCTTTTTTCAATGAAATTCTCATGAATCTGGAAAGAACTGCGCGTTCCTCATAAATTCTGCCGCCTTCTGTTCATAATGACACAAGATTTCATTTTGTTCCGTCTGAATGCTTGTCATTTATGGAGCGTGAAATGTAATAATTTGCCTCTCGGAGTCCAAAGAGTTGACGCCTTTTTTTTTTTGTTTTCTGCTTTTCTGTTCTCAGGGGGCCATAGCGGAGTACGAAGTTTGTCCCAAGGACAACCCCTCGTACGTGTGCAACAAGAAAACCAGCTGCAAAAGCTGCGCCGTCGACCAGAACTGTCAGTGGGAACCTCGCAACCAGGAGTGCATCTCGCTGCCCGGTAAGAAATATTAGATAGATAAATAGGCACAGTCGTCCGCAGATGTATTCCTCCCCTTCCATTAAAGCAAAAGCAAAACTCACAATAGTCACCCAAATCACTAGAAACTGAAAAAGTAGTAATAAATAAAAAATTTGCTAAATTAGAATTTAGTGAAATAAAACATTGCTTTTGAATTATGGGTGAAAAAAAAAAAAAAACTGTGCCGGACAAATTAGAGCACTTTGCTGATGAGCAGTGAAATCAGAACACCTGTCAACAGGTGCAGAAGTCTGACTGAGTTACAGAAAACACTTGACTGCAGTGATTGGCTCAAAATATTAGTTTACGGGTCCCATCATGCTTGTTTTGTTTTGTTTTGTTTTTTATATTTCTGTTGAACCACAATTCAAAAGCAATGTCATGATTTTCATTAAATTTGTATTTATTATTACTGAAAAAAACAGAAAAACCTACAAGTAGTAAAAGGCAAAGACGGGCACCTGAATAGAGAAAATTAGAAATTATTTTAGATTGCACTACGGGCCTAAAAAATGAATAAAATACATGTTTTTTTAAAATGAAGAAAATAAGTAAGAAATACAACCTTTATTTCAAAACTTAATGGTCTCTGCCACACAGTTGATGGACGTTTACATACTTACACATGAACCCTCTGAACTCCAACTAGTTTTCATGTGTTTTTTGCTCCTATAGCATTTTTCCTCGCTGTCCTCCCGTTTTTACTTACAATATGAAGTCCTGCACCTCGATGGAAGCAGAACAACCAGGACTAGAAGTAGAGAGACCTCAGAAATGTCTCCTCTGTAGCATAGCAGAGTTAGAATGCAACAAATCACAAAAACTAATTTTAAATTCTTTGATTATATATTTTACAAAAAAATTAAAACTAGAATCAACATGTACAACATTTTCCTAAGAGCCCACAGGTGTTACCAACACAGTAAAAACAGATGTTGACTCTGCATTCTACTTAGATTTTTGAATTCTTTCCATACTTGCCTGTAAGCACCGCCTGCAGATCAGCCAAGAACGCCCTGGATTTTTGTTCGCTTCATCCCTAACAGCTTCTCAGTTGTGACGAGTAGCGCAGAATTTTTTTTAATTTCACACAACCTGGTGACTGCAAGCAATTTATTTTTAGCAAATTTGAAAACAAGACATGTAGAATAAAGTGTGTTCGATGAAATATCACGACTTTAAGATTAGATTTTGTTGTTTTTCCGACTGAGCTGCAGGTCAGACACGATTAGTTCAAGGAAAGTTTAAAATTTTGAAATAAAAACATAAAAAATATATATTTTTAAAACCTGCTGAAGCGTCAGTATTTCATTTTATTGTGTTCATTTATTTGTAAGAAGCCAAAATTGCGATTTTGGTGAATATTTGATTAACGTACAAGCATTATGTGTTGTATTTTTCTGTGTAAACTTACAGTTAAATACACTTTACACACATTATGCTAATATAACAGTATGGCAAGGTAGAAAAATAGGGATCAAAATTCACTTTTGTCTAAAAACCAATCATAGATATTTTTGTTTATAGCTTGTAGACTTTTTAAATGCACACATTTTACAATTACAGTGTGCTTTTTGGGTGGAGTTTCCAATCTAAGAGGCTAACATGATTAAAAGCTAAATTATATACACATTTTCTCACTTATTTCCTTTTTTTCTAAGGTTTTTTGTGATGTACTCGGAGGAAACGTGTCAGAACACTGATTTACTTTGCACGCTCCAAAGAGTCTGGGCACCTCTGCTTTTTTTGTGTAGACACTGAAGGTTGGACGAGGCTGCCAACATATCACACCAACATCTGTTTCTTCCCGTTCCAGAGAACGTCTGCGGAGAAAGCTGGCATCTGGTCGGAAACTCCTGCCTGAAGTTCATCACGGCCAAAGACTCGTACGATAACGCCAAGCTGGCCTGCCGGAGCCACAACGCCGTCCTGGCCTCGCTGACCACGCAGAAGAAGGTGGACTTCGTCTTGAAGGAGCTGCAGATCATGAGTGTGGTGGTAAGGAAGAGGAAGAGGAGGAGGCAGAGGAGGAGGAGGGGATTGAAGCAGGATTTTAATTATTGGATTAGAGAAATTTTAATATTCTCCTTGGGGAAATTGGGTCATCAGACTAGAAGCGAATAAGATAGCGATGCACAGAGAGAGGCGAAGATAAAATAGATAATTACAGCAGAAAGATCACATCAGGCGGAGACTGAGGAACATTATATTAGTTAAGCAAGTAATGATGTAGAAAGAGCTTCTTCTGTGAAACATCGTCGTGTTGAAACAGTCGGATGAAACGAGAAAAATGTGCGAAAAGAGAAAAAAAAGTGTCCACAAAGACGACTTTTTTTTTTCCTCTTCTCATGTTATCTCTGATTCATGAGCACAGACTTACTGCTGTGCACCATCTGAAGTTTGTGCCCTTGGTCTTTTGCCGTTGCCTTGAAATCTTTCCTTTTTGTAATCTGGATGAGCTTCTTTTTTTTTTTTTTCCCTCCTCTGTGATTTTTGGACCATTTAACGTGAAACAAATCTTCCATTAACAGATTTTTTCCTCAGAGCTCAGACATCTCTTAGCCGCTCCATTAGAGCAGACACACAGAAATCTATCCCAACAATCGACTAACCATCGCAAGAGGCTCTTTATATCATCAAATGTGTGGACGGGATGGACAGATGTGGAGTGTTTGCTGTCTGGTGGTAAAACTTAGGCTTAGAAATAACGCTTACAATTAACAGAGTATTCCATTAAAGCTGACACCAACATTAAATCAGTCGGTTTCAACTTAAGGGCAGTTGTGGTTGAAGTTTGAGGCTTATTATTAAAGTTGTTTTGTTACACATTTTGTGATAAAGGGCTTTTATTTTGAAGGTTTGACTCAGGAGTCCTCAAACAAAAAAAGTTATAGATTCTAAGCTAGTAGCTGATTAACCGATGAGTTTGTCAGAATAATTTTAAGTCATTTTTTAGGCAAATATATCAAATTTTATGCTGTTTCATTGTTTCTTGTATTGTTTGTCGCAAAAACAAAATTTAGTTACCCCGGTCACAGCTCTGAAATCGGTATATTTCAGTGATTAACCTCATGAACTCAAATGCATGTAAAAGGTATGTTAACTTCTTAAAAAAATGTCAAAGTGACACCGTTAATCAGAGCTAGAAGCTGTAAAAACAGACACAATTTTTGGTTTATCAACAGTCTTTGAAGGTATCGTGCGACTTTTAGTGTCATCTGAAAAAAAATCAACTTAACTTAAAATTATGGTGTAAAAATTCTGTTAAAATAAATCATTTGCATCAGATTCTTTAAGACAAAAAAAGTATTTCAATTAAAAAAAAATAAATGGAAAAAAATCCCCAAAGTCACACTGTTTATTAGAGCGGGAAATTGTGAAAATAGAAAAAAATAGAAAGACTTTCAACTTTCTGACAGTCCTTGAACTAATCACATGTGATGTACGGTTCCGTCGGGAAAATTCTTACAATCTACCGTAAAATCCTGATCTTTCGTGAAAATCACTATATTGGACATGTCTCAAAAATTAAACAGTTTGCACCAGATCTTGTAAAATAAATGCTATAAATTCTGCGCTCCTCTGTAAAAATAAAAAGCCGTGACTAACTCATCTATGACCAGCAGTCATGTACCAAAAAATTGGTATTCGGCTGAATTGCAGGTTGTGTACATGCAGAATAAAGTATTGAAACAACCAAGTACAGTGTGTGGAGCAACTTGGTGAAATATTGTACATGTTGGTTTCAGGTTTTTACAACTTTTGTAAAACTGAAATGAAAGAAATTGAATTTTTCTTAGAGGAGCAGGACTTTATATTACGTAACAATTGAGCCCTCAGTGAGTCAAAATGTGAACAGAGCAAAAGAAAAAAATCCCATAAACTGCTTAGGAGGTTAATTAGGAAAATAAGCAGCAGATAAGTGGATAATAAAATGTATTATGTCCCAACTAAACGTGCAGAAGAATCCTGACATAAAAGACAAGTTGGAGGCCTCATCGTAGCCAAGTCTGTCCACATACTTTAGCTTTTGTCTACACTTGACTTCACTGGGAAACCTGTCAACAGCAGCGAGTGCGCGGCTCTAACAACCCGCTGTGCACTTAAATGCAACGTGGTGTCATGTACGACTCTGTTTGGTTTCTAATCAGCCACCAGGCGCTGAGGCCACCCATGCAACAAAAAAAAAACACAAACAGTGATCCTACAAAGTGCCCTGAAGCCACCACATTAAAAACATCTAATGCTGAAGCTGAATAAAAACCCACCGAGTCCGACTGGAATTAAGAAGCGCCGTGCATCCATACTAATGAAGCTGTGTAGATTTCCCCTGTTGGTCTAAATTAGCTCTGGTGGTTGGTTACAGGTAATCTTTGTGCTCAGAGGTGGAGAATAATCAAAGCTTAACTGCTCTGGAATAACATTTTCAAAACACTTAGTTCACCGGTGAAAACTCTATACGGGCTCAGAGAAGTGGAGCTGCACGGGACTGGAGCGGACGGAGATATTTAGTCCGTCTGCATTATGAAACCAGCAAAACAGTTACAGAAGCATCCAGATGGGGCTTTGCACCCATCATACAGAACTGCAGGTTTCTTTTACGTAGCCAGAATATTCCCATACAGCTGTCTAGGTCTGCAGGGTTAAGGCCAAAATGATAAACGCTATTATTTTGATCAATGTTAAGATCAGGATTATTCATTAAACTTGGAGGCAAAACATTTTTATTGTACTTTCATGCCCTACATTTATTCTAATGTACAAATTTGTATCAAAACAGGTTTAAAAATAAGGTTCGTCTTCATGTGACTTCTTCGAAAGGCAAAATATAAATATAACTGCACCCAAAAAGGCTCGACCTTGACAGACGCTACAGTTTACCGATGCTACCTGAACGCCTCACATGCAGGCTACAAGCTAGCTTACTGCACAAGGAAGCCTCTAGTCTCCAACTCGAGACAGATCAGTAGGGATGTCCGATATTGGATTTTTTGCCAGTATCGGATATGCCAATATCATCCAACTCTCAATTTCCGATTCCGATAGCGATCGAGACCGATGTATGTCTGTTACTGCAGTCAGGCTTGTTTACACGCTTCACGACGCAGTTTGAAGCACGGTGGTAAATACTGACGAAATCCAGGCATTGTTTTATTGATTTTCGATTAACAATATTGACAGATATTAAATTTTTATGCCAATATCCGGCCAGACATCCCTGCAGATTAGTAACAAAAAATTACTTTAAAAAGAGTGAAATAATGTCAGATTCATCGTTTCCTCTGTGCTTGGCTAAGACAAACAAAAAAAGCATTTTAATTAAAAATAAATAAATAAATAAATAAAATTTAAAAAACCCCAAAGTCACACTGTTTATTAAAGCGGGAAATTGGGAAAATAGAAAAAAAATAGAAAGACTTTCAACTTTCTGACAGTCCTTGAACTAATCACGTGTGATGTACGGTTCTGTTGGGAAAAATCTTAAAATCTGTACTTAAATCATGATATTTGGTGAAGATCCGTTTATCCGACAAGTCTCAAAAATAAACAGTTTGCACCAGATCTTGTAAAATAAATCCAGGCATTATTTTATTGATTTTCAATTAACAATATTGACAGATATTACATTTGTATGCCAATATCGGGCCGGAACATCCCTACAGATTAGTGACAAAAAATTAATTTAAAAAGAGAGAAGTAATGTCAGATTCATCACTTCCTCTGTGCTTGGCAAAAACAAGTTGATTTCTAGTAATACCAAGTCATTTAAGGCCATTTGTGTGGTCATAGGAGGTATCATAATGTGAATAATACACTGTAGACATTTTCAACAGACTAAACACAAATTGAAGCCAACTTATTTTATCAACATGGGCTGTTTTAGAGCCTTTTAAATGTCAATCAGGTACTTTTAAGCCAAAGTCACTTCTCCTGTAGATTAGCTACGTAGAAACCAGAGCCATGCAAGTCTTTTTTTTTTTTTTTTTTATCAAGCAGCAAATTAAGTTGTCGCATGACGTGTTTGAGTTCCGATTTACTTACCGATGCTGAAACAAGAACGCTGCGCGGCTTTAATCTAAAACCTGCAGCGTTTGCTCTGTGGAGAAGGCCCCGCTATTCCCAGACAAGATCAATCATTCCAAGAAAAGGAATTAAATCCGGATGCTCCAGTATTTTGTCACACGTGAGAGATTCGGCGCTCTTTTGTTTACTACGACTGCATCCATTGATTGGAGGCGACGTGTTGGACAACTTCTCACGTCAAGTGAAGTAAACCTGTTCTTACTGCCGCTCCGTCCGTCCAGTGGAGTTTGTTGTCGATACACATGAGAAATTGCTCTCACGTTTCCTCCCTGACGTCGAGGGCAAAGTTGTGATTCCTCAGATGAAAGATAGCTAACAAAATGTGCTTTTTTAAAAAATTGATTTCCACCAAATGTCACGTTAGTCTCCAGCGAGGGAGTAACTGGCACCAAAGTCGTGGCTCTCAACCTGTTTTTTGGGACCATTTGAAGTACAAAGACGACAACACAGCCCTGTATTGATAACATATTTTTTATTTGCACAGTGACACAGTTCCACCTGACCAACTCTTTGTTTCTACAGTACAAGGCCACCGTCACGCCCTGGGTGGGGCTCAGGAAGATCAACGTGTCCTACTGGTGCTGGGAGGACATGTCGCCCTTCACCAACACCACCCTGCAGTGGCTGCCCGGCGAGCCCAGCGACGCCGGCTTCTGCGGCTACCTGGCCGAGCCGGCGTCCAGCGGGCTGAAGGCGCAAACCTGCATCAACCCGGTGAACGGCAGCCTGTGTGAGCGCCCAGGTGAGCTGCTAGGTATTTTATTTGTGCTAAAACAAGATCGCTGTTAGACTCTGTAAACCAACCCAAAAACACAAATAATCCACTAGAAATGACACAACATCACAGCTAAATGCATAAATGTAACACACTGACGGTGCAAAATCAGTGTATTTTTGCTGCTACCAGTTTATTTATTCCGTCAGCTGTTGGGTTTATTTGTCCCTTTATCTTTTATGATGCACTTTTATTCTTTTTGCACCACCAAAAGGAGTTTCTCTAGAATTCTGTTGTGGTGCCGTGCAATGACAGTGACGGCGTTCAAGTTTAAATAAGTACGGCGTCTTTTAAAAATACATGCCGATGATTAGAAAATGTCATCACAAGCAGTACTTTATTTGTGGAAGGGTTTAGATTAGATTACGTACCTTGAGAGAAGCTGAAGTCGTGTCTTTGGGTCTTTCACAGCATACAAAGGTAATGGGGGGGAGGAGTGCTGCAAGCTGTTTTACCGTTTAATAGCTGGATATTTATTGCAGATATCCCTCATTCAATTTCCCTCGTCAAAAAGAACATTTCAGATACCAACATTGTCATTTTTCCAAGGACGAACTGCGTCAGTTTTACCATTCAGGTGTTGGAGGTTTCAGCTGTAGATACCCGCAGTGGGGTTTCTAGATATCTGTGACTAGTTGTAATTTAAGATATCTTTAATTCCCTCCTGTTTGACATTCTACGTTGTCCTTTTTTTAAAAAGATATCTTAAATTAAGTTTGAACTTGTCAGAGTGATGTAGATACGTCAAAGTGGGATTCCAACTCTTCAAAATCTAATTACAGATATCTTTAATTAGCATGTCGAGTCGGTGAAAGGACACTGGAGATATCTGCAGTTATGGCAGGAAGTACAGGAAGTTGGAGGCAGAGGCAGCGTGCTCTTCAAGAGGTTTGATGTCATACGCTTATAAAATCAGACAGTTACAGCGTACAAGGGGATTCTGACTTTGCTCTTTAACCAAATTCAAGAAAAACTACAGCAGTTCTAAGTAAATAGGCATACCTAAACCAACAGCAGCACTCATCGTAAAGTGCTATAACGTAAACCTTGGTTTAAATAAAGTGATTATGGCAGCGATTATAAAGTTTGAAGCCATTTTACCACCACGTCAGAGCAACCAGAGGCCAAAACTCTGGTTGATTTTGACAAAAAATCTCTAAAGAACAAAGCTCTCGTTCTCGTCTATGGTGTTTTCTAACAACACTGTAGCAGCTGCCATCACCAACGCTAATGCTATCCAGTGAAGGCGCTGCATTAGCAGCATTACGCACAACAATCGATGCAAGTCAATGAATGCGTTTGAGATATCTGCAACTATTATTTTCTACCAGTCCAAACTGAATTACTGGCTTTGACTGGTCAGAATGATGGTTAGGTATCTGGAATAAAAAATCAGTAGCATCATAATAATAGCTGTAACTGTGCTGCGGCTAGTCAGAATGACGGTGTTGACGTCCAGGATAAAACATTTTTTAAAAGAAGCAGAAGTACGGTGGCCAACGGGGGCAAATGACGTGCATATACACAAATGAGCTGCACATACATGAATGCGCTGCATAAACAGAAACGCACTGCAAAAAGAAATCGCTGCATATCCAGTCACACAATGGAAATACCACAGGCCTCTAGGGACAGTAGTGAGCTTCACACCTGAGAGGCAGACAACAGTGAGCGAGACACGCTAGCTGAGGGAAAAGGTTTGTATTCTCTGGTCTCCATGGATAAACATAAATAACAGAGAACACAGGGAGACGGTAGTAAAACACCACTTCAGCACCCAGATAGTCACAGTGACTGAAAAGATAAAGACTAAAAAACTGCCCCTAGAGGTCTGGGGCACTTCTGTTCTGTGACTGGATATGCAGCGATTTCTTTTTGCAGCTCATGTGTGTACATGCACGTCATTTGCCCCCGTCGGCCACCGTAGAAAAAGTGGCAAATCACAAAGCCAGTTTCAGCAATCGTTCTTCGTTCTTAAGCTCGCTAAATGTTCATATTGAATTTGCTGTTTTCAGCCGCAACATGCCTGAGATTCATTTTTTTCCAGACACCCCATACCTGTTTGTAAAGGCCGATACTGGGCAGATATAGAATATACTACACATAGATATGACATTCATTGTGCAAATGTGATAAAAAATAATGCCTTTAAATTTCCTTTACCAGGAAAGTATTCAAGGATAAACACTGCAGCCTTTTATAGATCATACAGTGATTTCTGCTCGCAGGCCAAACTGATTTTTCTGCTCGCTAGATATAGTAACACCCTGTTTATCATAGGATGGATCCAGCAGGCGATCGCTACCAGAGGGGCAGTTTGAGTCCCACAGAGACATAAATATCTGTTCTTTTTTTTACAATATTTCTCTTCAGCCAACCACAGCGCTAAGCAGTGCCGGACCCCGTGTGCCATGCGAACCACCTGCAGCGAATGCACCAGCAGCAGCTCGGAGTGCATGTGGTGCAGCAACATGAAGCAGTGCGTCGACTCCAACGCCTACGTGGCGTCCTTCCCCTTCGGACAGTGTATGGAGTGGTACACCATGAACACCTGTCCGCGTAAGTTGTCTTTAAAGTAAAGTTTCTCTTTTGTTTTTATTGTGCCAAGTCAAGAAACACGCTGTGGAAGAAAAGTCAAAAAAGAGTTTCACAATCTCATTCTTAGATGTAACATTAAAAGAAAAAAGTAGTTTATGTCCATTTTTTCACAAGTGTGCAGAACATAGAAATTAACCCCTATGAAACTAAGTTAGCAGCATGTTTAGACTATATTTGTTGTTTCTGACAAGTAGTAAAGTCGAGGCATCATGTGCTCTGTTGTAAACAATATAAGGAGTTTATTGTGAGCTGTTGTTTGTCCTTTTGATCAGAAACAACAAATGAATTTAACACGAGATTACAGAACACACGATTAGTTCAAGGAACGTCAAAAAAAGTTGCTAATCTTTGCATTTCTTTCTGTTTTTACCATTTCCGGCGATGATAAATGGTGTAATTTTGGTGATTTATGTCTTTGTTTTTAAAGATAAAATGATTTTTAAACCCACCAGAAAGTTTGGGGTTCAGAGAGTTAACAAGGTTGTAATTTCTGAAGTTTCTCAGACTTTTTTATCAAGTTTCTTAGAAGAAAAATGTGTAATTTAGGAGTGGAAGTGTCCACTTTGCACTTGGGGATTCATTTATATCTTTTAATCATGAGAGTGAAATCTTTCTTCAGGCAAGAATATGTTGGATGCTATGTGGATGCTCGATCAGAGTTAGATGTGGGGAGTTTGGAGTGAACGTCTTGAGCTCTTGGTCGTGTTCCTCGAGCCATTCGGGCAGTTGTTGTGGTTGAGCTCGTAGGTGTACCATCCACCTAAATGTAAGATGATCAGTGTACCTGCCAGAAGTTTTGATTGGTGAATGAATGTGTGTTCACATTCTAATAAAATATGTTGAAATTTTGATTTACGAATGTCCATGAAAATTGAATGATTCTTCTCAAAGTAACAACCAGTAAATGGAAGCATCACCGTCCTCTCTGCTGCTGTAAATATGTCTGTGATGCCGTTTTCTCGACTGATTTGAGCGTCACTGATCTTCTCGTACCTCGGCCTAAGAAGCCGTCGCTCCACAGCTGTCGCCTCTTTCAAGCCCCCATTCATTATCCATAAAGTGTTTACTTTAATCTCTCCATGCGTTCCTTACGGCGGTTTTCCGGCTCCTCTCGTTGCTGCTCCGAACAAATTGGCACACCCGAACCCCTCTCTGACACACGAAATTGTTTGCAGCCTCCTATTTAAACCTCTGATGAAGCTGCAGCGGCCGCTCGTATAACTACCGAGCCCCTCGGTCGGGATTCATTGGCTGCAATTTAGGAAGCGAGGGGGAAATGCCACCCGAAAATAAGAGCATAAATCTGAAGTCTGCTCATGTAGTCCTTCAGCTGCACTCGATCACCGGAGCACGTGTAGCTCTGGACGTCTTCATCAGACTTTAAGGGAAAAAAAAGTTTAAACAACCGTGAGCATCTTTACATGTTTGTTGTTTATTTTGAGCAAATTAAAGCCTCCAGCAGATGAGAGGAGGATTAATAATCCGGTTTAATAGTTTGCTAACTTAGTCTCGGGCCGCTGATTTGTTTTTTGTCAGCGCGGCCGAGAACTATTTTCATTTATTTAACCTGGCAGGTCAATTAAGTACGGGTTGGTACTTCCAGCCTGGAGCAGAGAAAAGCCCTCGAGGGCTGAAAGATGGGAATTATTATATAGACAAATAGTTATGAGCAGGCCCGGGAATTAGCTAAATGAAGTGCTCTCTAAAGGTGTGATTAATCTACAGGTTTGGAAGGGCTGGACTTCACTTGCCCACACCCCATACATCAAGCTGCTGTGTTAACATTGCTTAGCACAAATTGATTTACTAACTGAAACCTTTATCTGCACACCGCCAGCGACCTGTTTACAGAAACATACAAATAAACTAAGTTAAAGATTGATGCAAAAATCGCCGTAAAGTGGATATAACCAACAAAAAGCCATTAAAAGACAGCTGATGTGTGATTTCAAATAACAAGCTGAACAGAATTCATGCTTATCTTTATTTTAAACGAACAGTTTGACATTTTTGTTAACATGCTTTATTGTGTTCTTGCTGGTATTCAGATGCAACGATTTATAAGATTCTTCACTAGTTGTAGCTTAAAGAGTGAAAAATGTGGAATCAACATGATCAACATTTACCAACACTGTAAACACGGTGATGTGACGGCCCACTGTCAGCTGCTGCCATGGAGGCCTCGATTCCATTTACCTGTGGGTCCCTGAAGGCATCAGGACGGCCCATAAAGTCCAGCCATCCCTCTCTTGCTCTCTCTCATTCATTCTGACCCGGCTTCGTTGGTGGTGACGCGTCTTTCTCTGTTACCTTTTTGCTTTGTTTCTGCTCCACAACACCTCACATCCCATCATGTTCACTCATTCACACCTACACTACTGATGCTGCTGACGGTCACGTGCCATGCTTACTTTTGGTTTTGGTTATTATAAATATCCTTATGTTGAGTTAAATCTGTGTTCCTTGCCATATTTGTTATAACCCATGATCCAGGTTATGACAGTGACTCTACAAACTGTGGAATAAACGTATTTATTTATTTATTTATTTTTTGCACATTTACCTCCCGTCTGTTCTGTGTTCACACTTCCTGCAGTTCAACTGAAAAGTTCCTGAAATTTTGTCACATGACTGTTGCTCACAGCTGAGTCGCTCATGTCCTGAGTCGCTCATGTCTTTCTGGTTGCATTACGGAGCGCAGATTTTTTTTCTTTTTTGAGAGAATCTGGTTGAAGAAAACTGTTTATTTTTGGAAAAAGTTCTAAATGAGACCTGTAGAATCACAATTTTTAGGCTTAGATTTGGTTCATCTTCCAGACTGAACAATTCATTGTAGACAAGCGCTTCAAGGACTGTTGGAAAGTTCATGATTTGCTATGTTTTCATGGTTTCTGGCTTTAGTAAATGGTGTAATTTTGGCGGCTTGTCTTTCAAACCCAAGGCTCAGAGGGACAACTTGATGTATATTGTTGACTATTAGTGATCTAAACAGAGGATTACATGTTGGATCATCCGGTGCAGAGCGTCTGTGCCCACAGAAAACTTACAAAAGCACAATTAAAGTCTAATAAAGCTGCCTTTGCAGGAATTTTCCAGCATACTCTTTCATTTCCTGTCATACAGCCACCTGTTGATGGTGAATCAGTGCGACATCATCAGCAAGATTATATTTGAAGTCTTGCACATGCATCTTTATAATGTGTGTGTTGACTCAGCAGGGATAATATTTAATGAGAGAAGTTGATTTAGGGGAGAATAATACTGCATTTAATTCTATTGTATATGTATTTCTCCTGATACCAGAATTTTGTGCTTTGCTTCACATAAATAAAGACATTTCTGCCATTAATTAAAGCAAACCGGTTGATTAAGATCACTGTAACGAGTCAAAATCAGTCACATCATTCGTTTAATATCAGAGCTGCTGTCATCCACTTAAGCTGCCTGTGTAGTTTTACCCTCTAATCCAGCTTCAGTTTAAAATAACAGGACATTTAAGATTCACTAACCAGCCATAACAGTATTAGATGTGCCTTTTCTGACCGGTTCCGTGTTTGTGTCTCACTGCAGCTGAGAACTGCTCCGGCTACAGAACATGTGGCCAGTGTCTGGACCAGCCCGGCTGCGGCTGGTGCACCGACCCCAGTAACACGGGCAAAGGCCAGTGCATCGAGGGCTCGTACCGCGGGCCCTTCCAGACCTCGGTCCCGGCCCCGTCCACCCTGCCCGGTCTGCCTGCCAGCCCCCAGCCGGCCCTCAACGCCAGCATGTGCCCCGGCGAAGCCAAATACAACTGGTCCTTCATCCACTGCCCCGGTAGGACGTTAGGCTGAGCTTCAGGTGGTGTTCTGCAGTCTGAGATAGTGTTTAAAGAGGCAGATGTCTTTAATTTCTGCTCATTTATTTATATTTAAAGGGTTTTTTTTCATAGATGCTACAAACACAAATGGGAATGTTGTGTGTGTTTAGAGCTTGACCCATATAAGGTACCTCCAATAACATACTGTTGACAGGTGTTTAGATTTCACTGCTCATCAGCAAAGTGCTCTAGTTTGTCCAGGACAGTTTTGTTTTTTTTAATTGTTCTTTTCAATCACAATTCAAAAGCAATGTGTAAATTCACTAAAGTACAATTTAGCATGTTTTTATTTATTATTACTTTTTTCAGTTTCTAGTTATTTGAGTGACTATTGTGAATTTTGCCTTTTCTTTAATGGAAGAGCATGAATACATTTGAGAACGACTGTAACTTTCTTTCTTTTCTTTTCTTTTTTTTTTTTTTAACCTTCTACAGCAGTTTCACATTTTTACTCCCTCTTGGCTCATTATTTACCTCAATATAAATCTTTACACCTCTATAAAAACACCACAGTTATGACTTGAAATAACTCAAAAAGGTGTCTTGTGCAGTGTGATGCACTTTTAATATCAGAAATTCTAAAAAGTAACGAAAAAACAAGTTGGATTTTTCAGGAGCCGCCAAGTTTTGCCGAAAAGTCCCTGAATTTTTGTCACGACTGCAGCTGAGTCACTCTTTATTTCTCAGTTGTGCCGGGGAGTGTAGAATTTTATTTATTTATAATTTTTTTCCTTACGGAAACTGGTGAATATGGTTTATTTTTTGACATTTTTTTAAATGAGACCCGTAGAATAAAGTGATTTTTGATGAAATATCACAATTTCTGGCTAATATTGGGTTAATTTTTCTAAAATAACCACAGATGATTAGTTCAAGGACCAGCAGAAAGTTGTATTTTTTCTGTTTTACCAGTTTCAGGCTGTGGGGGAAAAAAAAAGTGGAATCTTTTTAACATTTTTTTTGTCCTTTTCTGTTTTTTACTTTCCTTTCAAACCCACTGACACATTTTGGTCTTTAGAGGATTGCTGGAAGTTTCTCCAGTGACTTGTGTTGTGACTTTCATACAAATGAGGGACTCATCATAGATAGAATTTTTTTTAAAAATCATTTATTTTTACATTTTTATTAGAGTCCCTTCAGAGCCACAAAAACATACGACAACTATTTTTGTATGAGCATATGTTAGGTCGTACTTCTCTTGGCAACTATAGTGGTCTAATATAAACTAGTTACGCCTCTAACATCCAAAAATAACTAAAAAATATTAGTATGGATTGTTTTACATGTTTATTCTAATGCTTGCCAATGAGCTGAGGAGTCTTTGTGACCTCACACAATTTAATAGATTTGTGCGGTTAATTCTTGACAAATAAACCTGGCAGGCATAGAGAATATTTAATTAAGATTATTTGTTTCACGAGAGCCTGCTCACCAGTGGACGGCTCGGGAGTCACGCCGACACCACGCCGAACATCAACTTTCTGTTCTTACAAATTAACTTACAGACTGGCTCATGTTTGGGCCTGGGGCTGTTTATTCTCTGAAGTTTTTTTTTGTTATGTTTGGTTCCGGTGTGCGATGCTCACGCAGTGTGTTTCCTCCCCGGCAGCCTGTCAGTGTAACGGTCACAGTCAGTGTGTCAACGAGAGCGTGTGCGAGAAGTGCGAGGACCTGACAACCGGCCGGCACTGCGAGAGCTGCATCTCCGGCTTCTACGGAGATCCGACCAACGGGGGCAGCTGCCAGCGTGAGTATCCGCCGGCCCCTAAATCAGCCGACTCGGCCTCTCCGCACACGGCTTCATTTAACTTGTCGGTATTTTACAGTTCATTTTTATGTCGGCCATTTTCCCGATTCCTGGCCGCGCCGTAAACCCTTCCCCCTGGGATATTAAAGATTTACTCCTTTACAGCTAATACTGACAGTCAGTCAATCGGACAACAAATCAATCGTCTGTTTCTTCGACGGGTTATTTTAGCTTACACTCGGGCTGTAATATACTGCTGTATTGTGTGATTTTCTTTCTTTTTTTTTTTCTCCCCTGAGTGTCCCTCTGGAATATACATATATTTAGTCGGTTCTGCATCAGTGACAGTCGATCAATAAACTAGGCTCTTTGCATACAGTGTCTACGTCTTGTCAGTATTATGTTGTTTATGCTTCTGGATGGACAGCAAAGTGCACCTCTGGGACACGTTTCACTTCACATCTCATCAGTTTGACTCAACAAGAATTATCAGGACAAGTAAAAAGTACACAATCCAATGCCTCAAGACCTCGTTATTATTAAATAATCAACATGACGTGTGCTTAAGTGGCACGTTTCTAAGATGGAATCATTAGTGCAGGTGTGGTCAGATTGAACCTCGACATGAACCTCATGAGTCTGACTCTTAAGGAAGCATCAACAAAGTTTAGTTTCAGTTCTGCTCATCAGGTCCTTAACTAATTTCACTCGTGCTAGTTTATAAACAGAGCGCAGTTGTCGTGTGAATTAAACGCCTGAGTGTGTGATTCATTATTCTCAGTTAACGTAATCACTTGTTGCTGAGTTGCTTGATTAGCAGATGAATAGCTCAGATTGTGTGATTGTCTCACAACAATCGCCTCATTTAGGAAATGACGCAGCAAAATGCTTGAAACGAGGCCGGGATTGGACTCGTTCGGCTAAAGTTGCCGAAATAAACCCTCAAAAATTCAAGAAACCAAAAAAAAAACAAAAAAGTTTGCTTTACCTGTCTCTATGTTTCTGATGCTAACATTTATCTTTGAGAAGTGGTGTTTCTCACATAGGATGTTGTTATAACGTTACATGAACAGGAACTCTTAATGTTTCTGCTGCGACAGCAAACGCAACACAGACTTTCAGTTACTATTCTGCTTATCGAGACACCTTACAGCTATGAATAAAGTAACCTTGCTTCCTTTGTAGCGACACTTTACTGTGACTGCAGCAACGTGCTCAAAACCACTAAGTTGATGTGCAGTCAGGCTGTTGCTGTGCTGCTCCAACTGGTTAAAAAAACACAATAACTATATTAATTCATACGATTATTCTTTATTCATAATGATAGACAGACATGGACAGTGGCAGAGGCAAAACGCAGATATTTTACTAAAGTAAAAGCACTGATACCACACTGTAAATATTAGTTTAAAGTAACCGTATGTAAGTATAATCAGAAAAGGGTGCTGTGGTAGTGATAATAAAAGTACTCAAGGCAAAGAAATGTCTATTTGATTATGTTTGATTGCAGTGTTTATATATCTAGAGATGTTTCAGTCATTTTCTTTTTCTTTTTTTTCTTTTATTACTCCTGATTCAAACCAATTAAGGTCGTTTAATATTAAGTATCTGCCACCTCCTAATACTACTTTCCTAAATTTAAGTATTGCAGATTAGCTGTAGTACCTGGTTGCACCACCAGGTGGAGCCTCTTGCCGTTTCATACAGTATTGGCTAAAGGAGGCGCTCACTTCCTTGTTGGTAAGCAGACAGGATTGTTAGTGAAGGGGAACCATGACAAAGACTTCTGTGATGCTCAGCGGTCTCTGGCCAGCACACAAGCATTAATTCAAGCAGGGACGAACAAACACTGAGTTTCTATACGGCAGTAGTGTAATATTTGGACTCCATTCATGTGCCAGTTGGTGTAAACAAATGATTAGGTTAAGTTTTCTGCGGGTACCGATTAATTGCAAATGATTGATCGACCCTGATCAGGCTGATACAATCAGGCTCGGGACATCCTCAGTTAGATCATTCGATTATTGTTGCTCATTCATAAACGTAAAACAGGATTTTACTGTTGCAGTAATGCGGTAATCTGGAGGAAACAGGCAGCGGTGGAACACAAAATACCCAACCCTAGTTAACAATCCTCTCTTCAGATGTGAAACATGATATTGCACAGCACCGACTCGAGATCTAAACTCCTGTATTTGAGCTGGACTCTTTTTTTGTGTTGTATTTTGTATCCTCTTCCCCCCCCCTTTGCCTGGAGATTGAGAGTGTTTCTCGGTGCGACGGGGTGTAACAGGCAGGATGGCTCCGGCTGTTGTTTGTACCTGAGCAGTGAGCAGCATTTCTGAGTGTCTGTGTGCACTTCACAAGGAGGACGGCTCCCGGGGAATCTGCTGGGAGATTTCAAAGCCTTCACTGATGCTGCTTTGTTACCGGACTTCTGTGTTATTACAAAACGCCACATTCAAGCAGAAGGCGGTTGGTATCGGGCGGTATCAGAGGCTGCCAGAGCGGGCCGTGTAAATCCAAATGCGTAGTCAGAATGAGGGAACTGAACTAAAGTGCATACAGGACGTGTAGGGAACGGCCATCCATGCTAATAGAAGAGTCTGCAGGATTTGATGTCGACTAAATACATGTTTTGAATCAAGACAGCCTCACATGCATCGGTCAAGAACATTATATACAACACCTGCAGTACATTCTGCAGCAGTCTGATGTGTGTGTGATTGCAGGTGTTAAAAAAAAGTCTGTCTCTTATGTTTTATTTCTTTTGTTCAGCCTGCAAGTGCAACGGCCACGCCAGCATGTGCAACCCCAACAACGGCAAGTGCTTCTGCACCACCAAAGGCATCAAAGGAGATCGATGCCACCTGTGAGTTTCACGTTTTATGATGCTCATCCGTCCCTCTGTCCTCTCGTGTGCTTCCACGTTTTCTATCCCCTCTGCTGTGTCTGCAGTTTCAGAAAGAAAAAATCCTTTAACTGCGATGCTTAGGCCCCCCTGCAATTACATTCTGGATGGGGTGGTTTACTGGTTTCATCTCCACTTAGATGCATTGTTTGCAACGCAGCGTTTTCAGATGGATTTTTGATATTTTGGCCTTAAAATAAGTGTCCTCCACTGTGGGAACCTTTTTTTTTTGATAGGAAGCCATTTTATGAACTATGGTACCCAACTTATGTTTTGATCAGAAGAAGTCATGATGATTTGGAGGTTGTACTTTTAGATAGTAGCAGCTTTTTGGGGGAGTTGGTCAGGTAACTTGTAAAACACAGACCGGAGAGCTTCTAAAATATTTGTACTTACGGTTAAACCCCAAAATTACTCCTATCCAAGCCAAATTCTGATTTATATGTCATTTTAGTTTTTTTTCTGGCAGGAGCTGACATAAACAAATGACAAAAGACACCAAAGCATTGTGTCACAGATGTTAATGATGGATTTTAACTATTTCTTTTTGCTGTTTTACTAAAAGAAATTCTTAAAATTGTGGCATTTTTTAAAACAATTCAGCTCCTGTACCATTCAAGATGGAATTTCTACTCTATTCAAGAGCACTCCAACACACTGTAAATATAGAACAGCTGATGCAGTAGTTCTCCAGTCAGTTAACAGTTGCAGTTTATAGCTAAAACCAAAGAGCTGAGCGAGCTTTCTATTAAGGTCCGTCGCTGAGAGCGGCACATCGTGGCTGCTCACAAGACGGAGAAACGCCATAAAGTCACATTCGAGTGTTTGCCAGTGCACAGTGCAAAGCATCGTCGAAAAGTACAAGAAGTTCCACGCTGAGGAAAATGTAAAAGGACGTCATACGAAGCCGAAAGTGACTCTTGCACGGGCAGGAATGAATCCAAGATCATCCTGATGAATCAGAGTAGTTCTGGTACCAACGTCTCAATCAAACACCCAACGAGGCCGATCTTCATGGAAGGCTTCACTTCTACACAAAAGCTCACCTGGCTGAGAGAAACATCATCAGTCCTTGGTCAGATGAGATGAAAATAATAATATAATGATAGTAAACTTTATTTGTGCAGCACCTTTAAGAACAGAATTCACAATAAAGAAATACAACACACAGTGAGACAAGGCAACACAGGAAAACAACATGTACAAAACGTGCAGGCAAACACTTAAGATATAAAAATACACACAATAAAAATGGAAAAGAACAAGCTGGGTCACTGTTTCCTCAGGGGCCCTCACAGAAAAGGCCCTTTGGATTTGAGCAAAATGATGCTGTTTGGACAGAAAGGAGAACCCGTCAACCCCAAGAACACCATCCTCAAGGTCAGATATGTTGATGGGAACGTGAAGTTTTGTGGGGTTTTTTTGCATCTGATGGCTCCGGCAACTTTGTTGAAGTAAACGGCATCATGAGATAAAAGGAATCTGGAGAAAAACTTCTGGTGTTCTGAAGAAAAGCTTCCAACAAGACAAAGATCTGAAACATGCAGCCAAAGCAGTCCAGATCTGAATCACATCGAGAATCTGTGGAGGGATCTGAAGACCAGAGTGATGACGAGGAAGCCTTCAATCTCAAAAAGCCTGAGATCGGCGCAAGATCTGAGAGGAAACATGCAGAAAGCTTGTTAGCAAGTAAAAGAAGAGTTTGATGGCGTTTTTAGTAAAAATGTAAACAAAAGAAAACACAGAAATGGTTGAAACTCCACATTAATCCTCTCTAACGCAAAGTCTTACTGTCTTATGTCGCTTGTTAAGGTCACTTCCATTCAGAGCGAGGATATTAGTCAAATAAAAAGTCAAAAACTTGGCATTGGAATGAATAATCCTGGGCTTAACTGTGAGTATTCTGAAAGCATTCAGCGTTAGGTGAACTTCTCGGGATGTTTTTGGAGTTTTATTTGCTAAATCCTATAGAGAAGACTGACAAACTGCTTTGGGGAGAGAAAAAAAAATGTACAAAAAGTGCTGAACTACACAAAATTCTGTCATTTCTTTATTTCACAAAGACCTGCAAGGCCACACATTAATATATTGAGCTTTAAACCCACCATATCCTGCAGTTTTTCTGTCTTTTTTTGGCACGCCGTAGTAGCAGCTGTTCATTAGCGCTTGCAGCTATATTTTTAGCACTTATCTTAACCTTCATTATCATAGGACTGCCCAAAATCCATTAAAGAAAAACTCCAGATAAAGTTTCACAAACGAACGGCCATCAGTATGAAAATGAGGTTATTTTCGTCTTAAAGTTTTCGGCGGCGGTGGAGGGTTTTAATTTCAGCTTCCTGTCAGTCTGTTTTCTGTCTGAAGGTCAACGCTCCTCTCCTTCGTTCTTTTTTTTGCCCCACTTCTGCTCATCCATCCTCCACTCGTCTCTTTCCTTTCATTTCAGGTGCGAAGTCGAGAACCGCTACCAAGGCAACCCTCTCAAAGGAACATGCTACTGTAAGTGGAATTCCAATTACTAACTTCAGTGAAGGCGCGGGGCGAAATCACACTAAGAAAACACCGCGAGCTCTGACTCTTCCTCCTTGTTCGGGGGTCGATGCCAAGGCAGCTACACGGCTCCTAAATCAAAGAAGTTTGATGCTTTAAAAAAATAAAATAATAAAAAAAAACAGCAGCCGGAGGAGAAACAGCTCGTTTTTTTTTGTCTTTTTTTTAAAAACAAGTCACAGGTGGGAAGAATCGAAAGCGAGTCGCGGATGAAAGTGAATCGCCGAAGAACGCGGGGAAGCTTTTTGAAGGACCGTCTTTCTCTTTTCCCTGCTGCGATGAGTCACTTTGCCGCCGTACGCCGTAGATTACTGTCTCGTCATTATTATTCCTGTCAATTGTGATTTCGGAGATTATAGTAATGTCACGAGAGAGAGAGAGAGATCTGTCAGTGAAACCGCGGAATTAGACGAGCTTTCCCGTCCCTCAGGCTCCCGCTCGTCATTATTTTATGATCCTGAAATGTTTTTTTATGGAGGAGATTTTGTCCCCCCTGTTAGATTCTTGTACTTATAGAAGCTCTTTTCTGGATGCTTAACAATGTCGGCTTTATCGGTCTGTTAACGTCACTTTTGTGTTTGTGCTGCTCGGGGCTTTGTTCAAACGTGTACGGACACGAAAGACGACGGTTCAGGCAGGAAGCGTATCATACAGTCAAGTCATCTGTAGTATATATTAGTGCACCAGTAAACAAAAGATGACATCTATGCTAACATCTAGCTAATCGAACAGTCCAAGTAACCAACACTTTATTTCAAGTTTTCTAAATAGTGAAAATTCTGAGGACAACCACCGAGTAACAAATGATTTTTATGCAGCTGTATGTTGATTCTGATTCTCCGTTTCGGGAATAATTTACCGTAATTTCTGGACTACAAGCCGCTACGCTTTGAACACTGCGGCTTAAACAATGATGCGGCAAATTTTGGGGTTTTTACGATTTTTACGAATTTGCCTCGAGACCAAAGTGACATTGAGAGCGACAACAAAAGAGAGACTGAGGAAGTGACGAAGTGATTCTGAGGCTGTTCAACTCCGACACCGAAGAAGACAACTTTAGTGGTTTTAGTGCAGGAGGAAGATGAAGATAGAGATCAATGACTTTTCCTGGTAGGCTGCTGTATTTTCTTAACCAGTCGTCTTACAGGCACTGTTCGTAAAAAAGCATTTACGGCATTTCTGCATGTTACCGCTACGTATTTAATTAAAAGTTTAAAAAATCTTCCTGTGTAAATATCTCATGTTACAACGTGGACACCTGCAGCTTAGAGACAAGTGCGGCCTGTGTATGTACAAAACTTGTTTTCTTTTTAAAGTTAGTGGGCGTGGCTTATATTCAGGTGCCTCAATAGTCCAGAATTTACGGTAATAATAAATGTATGTAGCTCTCTTATTTGGAAGACGTTCATCTGCTGTTCGATGCTGCAGGTATTTAATAAACTCAGAGGAAATCGTCCTAAACAACCAGAAGTGACACATTTAACTTCAGTTTCTGTTCATCTGAAGCTGGATTAAAGTCATTATAGTTCAGTCTCATTAACCTGAGCCGACCTTATTGCTGTAGAATTGCACTTTTATGTACTTTTTAGTTCGTAATAGATGGAAAACAAAGTGAATGAGGAAGGTGCTCTGGGATTTTTAGCACCGCGCTCTCTGTGATGTTTTTGGACCAAAATCGGAGCTAAAATGCCGAAAAAATCTTCCTGAAATCATTTCAAACAGCTCAAACATTCGTCTGTCCTTTACTCCGAGCAGGATGTTCATTCAGCCACGAAGCCGTCACGTTCGTATGCCGTCAGATTTGCAGAAAAGACGTCACAAAGAGCCCAGACCGACCGGGGTCGAGCGATGCCGCCCGGCGTTTCTATTACCGGTTGAATTAAATGCGTTTTGTCCCGAAGCAATTTTTTTTCCGTCTAATTGGTTAATTTCTGAGAATCAATCAAGCATAGGTTTTAAATCTCCCACTGCGAGGATGTCGCCGCTTTTCTGCGTTCAGTATTCTTTGAAATCTTTAACGGAAATAATGAACAAATCCAAGTCGAGCCGTAACAATCAGTCCCTTAATTAGTCGGAGAAACAACAGAAAATGAAACTTTTTTAATGGTGTCGTTTAAATCATTTCTGTTTTTTTTTTAAGCAAACCAGCTTGTTTCAGTGTTGGGATTTCCTTTTATTCCCTGTTTTGTGTCATTGTAAAGTGAATTTTTGGAGCTTGGTGAGCTTTGGATGTCACCTTTGGCTGTGGAAAAGTGCAACGGAGAGTATTTTCTCACAAATGAAGTAATGATCTGCAGAAGAATTCAAGGATTCCAGGAACTTTGTTGTCATGCCAGCTCACATTTACATGTTTGTGGTACGAAATTGGCACTCAGAAGCCTAATAAATAATAAGTCCAATGTAAAACATGGACGCTGAAATAAATCATTAACTGGAGCTCTGTCAGTTTTGTTAAATGTGTAGACGGAAGGAAAAACTGCCACTGTCTTTGGGATTTACCGAACGCCTCGACAGTAATTCCTTGAAAATCTGTAGTGATACGACTGAATCTACAGCTGGAGCGCATGTGTGCCTGCTGTTTGAAAAGAGTATTACCCAGCCAAAAATGAAAATATTGCATTGATTTGAACCAGCGTGAGAAGGATCACAGACTTCTTTTTTGGAATAAGTGGCTGGTAAATGAAAAAAGAAATGGTTTTGAAATGGTCAGTAAAGTCTGGGGGAAAATTGAAGCTTCCAGATCGCTTGAAAAAAAAAAAAAAAAAAGTGTGCAGCACAGTCAGACACGGTTTGGTTCCCTCCAAGCAGCTGCACATCTCTCAGTTCATATACCGTTGCGGCGCTTTAATGTCGGCCGGCCGGCGCTCGGCCGTAGAACCCGTCGTCTGACCTTCATCACAGAACACACAGCGAAATCCTCAGGTCCATCCAGGAAAGTCAATAGAATCGTGGGATAGAAAGCGAGCGGGGATAATATCCTGCCCGGAGCGCTGTCTCAAAACATGTTCTTGTGTGACTTTCAAACTACACTAATCGAGTTATTCTTCTCCTCCTCCTCCTCCTCCTCCTGCTCCTGCTTTTTGTAATTCCCACCGCTCTCCTCCACACCCGGCTTCAAACAGACACTCTGCTCATCGACTACCAGTTCACCTTCAGCCTGTCGCAGGAGGACGACCGCTACTACACCGCCATCAACTTCGTGGCCACACCTGAGGAGGTACGTGTCTGACGGCGAACGCCCCGCCGCCACAGCAGCTGTCACTTTAATGAGGATTAAGCATCTTAAAGTCGGCACCTGGTCATGATGTTTCCTTCTCCTTCGGTTATTGTCGAACATTTGTTCCTGGGATTCTTCTCCAGATGTTTCACTGGTCATAAGTTTGTTAACCCTCTGCTCCTGTCACATTTCTACTCACTAATAATACTTTTTCACTACAATCTGAAGTCCTGCACCTCTGTGGAAACATCACAAACATGGCTAGAAGTAGAGAGAACTCAGAAATGTGTTTTGTGCAGCATTACAGCGAAACAATAAAAAAAGTATGGAATCAGCACGTAGAACATTTTTCCAAGAGCCTTCATGTGTTGCCAACACTGGAGAAAAGAATGGTGGCTCTATATTTTGTAGGTTTTTATCTATTTACATTTTTGTTTGATTTCCACACTCGTCTCCTCTCTGCTCCGTGTAAACACTGCCTGCAGTTCAACCGAAAAGTTGTTGAATTTTTGTCAGGTGACTTTTGGTCACAGTTGAGTCACTGATAACTTTTTGGTTTTGACAAAGGCTACAGAATTTATTATTATTATTATTATTATTACTATTATTATTTAAATGTAATTGAATTTTTATTTACATTGATTTTTTTATTCAATCATTTTTTTAATTTTTAATTTTATTTATTTATTTTTACAAAACATGACTAATACAAAGGGTCTATTTTTTCGTGTTTTTTTTTTTTTTTTTTTTTAAATAGGAGACTTACAATAAAGTGTTCTTTAGATTCTGGTTTTCAGCTCAATATTGCACATGATTACACCGTTTAGAAAACTGAAAATCTGACGAATCTTTCAGTTTTTACAGTTTCTCGCTTTGCTACATGGTGGCATTTTTGCCATTTTTCTATATTTTATTTATTATTTCAGTTTATATATTTATATTTTTCATATATTTGATGATATTAGGCTGAATGTTAGTCAATATTCCCAACAGAACCGTAAACTGCTCATAATTTGACCCATCAGAAAGCTGAACATCTGAGAATTCTTTAGATTTTTACAGTTACTGGCTCTAAAAAGTCGAGAAATTTGGTGACTTTTTTTGTTTGAAGATAATAAACCTTTAGCTTTATCTCTTTTTTCTTCTTTTTTGATTATTTAAACATAATTGATTTGCTTTATAGGACGATTTCCAGCTGAGGTTTCATCAGTATTCCCAACAGAACCAGTAATTGCTCTTAGTTTGACCCATCAGAACGATGAAAACCTGAGAATTCTCACATTTTCTTTCCTTTAAAGACAACAAACCTCTCAAACCTGCCAACTGGGTTTTGGATTCCGAGTGTTGAACTTGTGCAGAAGTCACATAATCACTCGAAAACACTGGTGGCAATTAAAACATTCAACAACAATGAGAGATCACAATTTAATGAACCATACAACTACATAAATAGATATATTGTTGTGTATTCCATATCTAAAGAAGAGGAGGCAAAACCAGCCTTTTATATACGAACCTAAACATAAGCATAATTCATGAATGATGAGCCACAGAACAAGACCAAAATCTAATAAACACAGCCAGTACGACTCCCTCAGCACTTCCCCGAGTGAAAGTTAGTCTTCCGGCGACGAGCACAGAGACGCTGGAGTAGCGTTCCACCAAAGAGCGATGTCCTAACATGAACTGCACTCATCACACAGTCTGTCACACAGATGTTTCCCCTGCAAACAAAAGCCTGTCCGGCCCTGTTTACCTGGGCTGCAGCATCTGGAGCCCGAACTGAAACGCAAGCATCTGATTAAACGTTCCAGATGGTATTTTTTTTTTCCCTCCTGACAAAGCTTTTACTGAAGGGGTTGCAAATGCAGAAATGCGATCTGTTCGTCGACTGAAAAAGTTAATGTGATTTTAAAGTGACGTCTTGGTTAAGTTTTGCTTCACGTTCGGTGAAACTTTGACTCAACCAGTCGCTAAAAGATGCTTTTAATTCCCAACATACACACAAAACTTTAACGATAACACCTGGACAATGTTCACGAATCCCAGCTGAGGCCGTCTCTGCCGACGTCGACGGTGTAAAACGCATGATTCATTAATGAACTCTGTCTCTTAGCGAGTCCGTTAGCATTAATTAGAGCTCCGTCTACGTCTATTTGACGTTATTAAAGCTTCACTTTCAGCGTGCGCGTGCTGTGTTCATCAGCGATTCCTGTTCAAACATTTGATTTGTTAATTCGTCTTCCATTAGCTGTGCAAACATGCCCTCGTACAGTAGCTGTTTGTGCAGCTGCAGAGCCGAGCTGGAATGAAGTCGCTGCCTTTACAGTAGAACCAGAGGGGCTTTTTGACCTGTTACACCCACCGTGGTTCTGCCAATAATGTGTGTTTCATGAAGTAAAAACTGCAGACCGACATTTCATCAGCGTTTCCCAATTATTTCATGTATTGATTTGGTTTCCTTTCTTTTCTAATGGTTTAAATGGACTCATTTAGTTTTTAATTTACTGCTTTTGTATCTGATGTTGTAGCTTTTTGTTGTGTTTAAATGCAACTCATAATTGACTTCACCTGATTTAACACCCTTTCCGTGTCCTCACTTGTCTCTGCAGCCAAACCGGGATCTAGACATGTTCATAAACGCCTCCAAGAACTTCAACCTCAACATAACGTGGGCGACGAGCTTCACCGGTAAGTCCCACCACACACTCTGAACTGGTAGCGCTTCACCCTCTGAACCTGCAGGTTGTTTTAAAGGCGCAATGTCTTTAAAAAATTAGCAAATTACACCATTTATCAGAGCTAGAAATGGTAAAAACAAAGAAAAAAAGTTGGATTTTCAACTAATCATCTGTTCTGTGTTGTTTTGTCTGGAAAAATTAACCAAATCTGACCTTGAAATTGTGATATTTCATCCAAAAATGTCTCATTTCAAAAACAAATTCCAGTAATTAATGTCCTTGATGCAACTGAGAAGCTGTAACTGACTCATATGTTGCTGATGTTGATCAAGTTAAACCCTCTGAACCCTAAAACCAGTGGGTGGATTTGAAAAGTATGTCAACTTTATTATTTTTAAATTTCGCAAAAATCGAACCTTTCATTATAAAAGGTAGAAACAGAAAGAATCTTCAGGTTTTCGAATCGTGCAACTTCTGGTTCTGTCAGAAATATAAAGTAGACCTCAGCTCAAAAACACCATTTAAAAATATCACTTTATTCTACATGTTTCATTTAAAAATTTGCCCAAAATTCACCTTTTGCACCAACCAGATTTTGTAAAAACAAAAAATTCTGCGCTCCTTGTGAAAACTGAGAAGCCGTGATTGACTCATCTTTGACCAACAGTCACCTGAGGAAAAATTCAGAGACTTTTTGGTTGAACTGCAGGCTGTGTTTAAACAGGAGACAAGTATGGAAACCAATCAGAGAGATTGAGAGCAAAACAAATCATATTTGATCAATAAAATAAATGCAAAATGGCTCAACAATGGTACACAGAGGAGCGAATAACTCTAGGATACATTCTGCACGGTGAAACGCCTAACGAGTGGCATGGTGTGTGCAGAGCAGTGTGAGAAGCACGCGGTTTGCAGAGAGATTATAAAAATGCAAATGCAGCCCGGCGTCTCATTTGTAAACATGCGCTGCTTTTCTCAGACACAAACAAGCGGTTCGGAGGATGTCACCTCCGGCTCTTTCCACATTTCACATGTCAGGAATAACTGACACGTTAACAATGTGACGGCAAAGTGGCAGTTTGCTGACATTAGCTGCAAACATTGTTTTTACAAAATAAAAAAAGTGCTTTTGGATAGGTTTGTTATGCAAGTGGAAATTTAGCCAGAAACACAGACGTAATGCAGACGTTTAAGATTTGTCTCTAACTACTGTGACCTTTCTGGCTTTTCTCTCTCCGTCCTCCTCCTCCTCCTCCTCCTCCCCCTCTGCTGCCTTTTTCTCTCCATCGACCTGTTGTTTTTAACTTCCTTCCTCCGTCTCCGTCCCCTCCATCCCTCCTTCTTCTTTCTGTCCCCCAGCGGGCACCCAGACCGGGGAGGAGATTCCCATCGTCTCCCGGAGCAACATCAAGGAGTTCAAAGACAGCTTCTCCAACGAGAACTTCGACTTCCGCAACAGCCCCAACATCACGTTCTTCGTCTACGTCAGCAACTTCACGTGGCCCATTAAGATTCAAGTAAGCGAGCTCGACGAGAAAGTCATTTCTGAGTAACGCTGCGGCGTGTTTAAACCACAGTCTGCCAAAGAATAGCACTTTGAATTGTACATCTTACCACCTTCAGCTGCACTTCGGGAAATATATCTGTCTAAAAATTGTTCTGACAGCTCAAATCCACAACAGAGAAGCGACTCATTGGCCGTCTCTGCGGTGCTTTGTATTAATCTTAACTGGCCAAATGCGTTTCTGACAGACAGAATAACACGTCCGAGGATCCGCGTCCATTTGCTGCTTTGTTAAACATGAAAACAAAGACGATTGGTTAGATTTGACTCCAGAAATCTCAAATTGGGAGCGTTCGGGTTTGACAGCACGGCAAAGCAGGAGCGATGGAAACTTGGAATTAAATGTGACACGACGGGGAAGTGGCTCGAGAATTTAAAAAAAAGTTATTACTGAACAAAAGTTTCCAACAGGTGTGCCGTTCGGGCTGCTTTACCTGGAAAGTGCAGCTTTAAACTCCGGTCACGCTGCTTCTTCAAAGATGTGAGGAGGTAAATAATAAAAAAAAAAGGTTTCCTGCCCTGGTGTGCAGGAGCTTTTTTTCCTCTGCGGTGTTGATGTGGCTCCTGGGCAGGAGGTTGTGAATGGGACGCTTCATCTGTGTGTGTTCGTGCAGCCGAGCTACAGTCACGGCTGCACTCGGTGGAAAAAAGAACAGTCGGATGGTACAACGCCGGGCGGATTTGCAACAGGATTAAAGTGTTTCAGTCACTTAATTTACTGCAAGGATTGTTTCCAAAGTGAAAAATACATCGAAAAAGTCTTTAGTATGTAAATACAGTTTATATCCACTTGCTTACACCGTTTATCCTTCTTATCTGCCTGTGCGGCGCGAGGCCACTCTACGCTGTGCTTATGGGAAGTACATTCACATGCATTCATTCGACTCTTTTGTCCGAACGCGTCGCTCTGAATGTTTAGCGGCGTCGGAAAAAAACCTGAAGGAAACCGAACACTTCATTAAACAGTTTCAGACAAAACAAAACAACAAAGACAGGTTTTATTGCAGAGGCTGATGTGTTAGATTGCTTTAGTTTTTTAGCAAAGTGCGCCTAATAAAGCAGCAGCTAATGGGAGGCACCAGCGTTTGGAAATATTGGATTTTACTTTTAAACATTTTTAAACACTCCCTGCAATGAAAATCCATTTTTTAGCTTGTTAAAACGTCCACATTGTGGCTTTTATGTGCTGCAAGATGCATTATAAGCGATACAAGCAGTCAACAATGTGACTGAACGTTTCAGGGCACCGATGACTCAAAAACACTTTGATACGTCACAGATCCAAGAACCAACCGTCAGCTTAGCTATTTGTCTTCAGAGTAGGTTTCTGGTTTGAGCATGCATGTCTGAATTACATCAGAACTACATTTAGTGCAGTATAGAGTAGTTTTACAGAGTTTAAACAGAGATAGTAGGTGAGCTGGTGTGCTCGAGTGGCAAAGAGGTAAAAGAACAGACTTTATAGATCTGCACTGTTGAGAAGAAACAATTGTAGAGGTACATCAGAGCCATTTTAGGTCAGGACGGGATGTTTTTATGGAAGAAAAAAAAAGTATAAATAGGTAGAATTAAGGGTTTCATCAATAACCAGCGATGAACCAATGAGCTTATTGATTACGTAGAAAAATAAAAATAAGTTGATGTAATCGCACAGGCAGAACAGCAACATTTTTGGACCTTTTAGTCGCATCAGTAACACTGAAAATAATCACAAAAACGCGTTAAACGAAAGCATCGAAGAATTTTAAAGCGATATAGAGTCACTCTGATTAAACTGCTGATATAAACAAACTGTTTCTGCTTTCTTTTGGATTTTATCTCGACTCAAACCTCCTCCAACATGTTTAAACGAGCTGCACTACAGCTGCATTAAAACACTTTTGTCTTGCGACGAGGTACATTTTTTGTCATTGCTGGTGAGCTGCGATGACAAAACACACTTCTACAGACTGATATCAGGACGCCTCGGTGGTGTTGTGTTGCCTCCATCAGTGACGTTGGATCTTTTTTTTCAGCTTTTGGTGGAATAATGAAACACAACGAGACAGACTTTGACTTTTGCTCTGATTAAACGGCTTCAGTTTGAAACACCTCGTGCAGCTTTACGTCTTCACACATGCGGAGCTGCTGCTGACATCGTTAGTGACTTTGTTTTTAATGCAGATTAGTGAGAACATACACGCCCGGTGCGATAAACCGCCGAGCGAATGTGCTGCTGCCGGCGTGGGGAGCGTGAGGCGCTCTGGGCCTGACTTTTTTGTGCAGCCTGCCCCGACTTTCGTGCCTCCCCAAACAGTCGTGGAAGTGATTTGACTGGTTGCCCCGACGCGAGCTCCTTCCCCCCTGCCCTCCTCCTGCCTGACGGGGAGAGGAATCCTGCCTCCATCTTCCATGACCTGCCTTGTTAAGGGGCTTTTCTCAGCGTCAGAGGTCCAGCTGCTGCCCGCCCGGCCTCAGGAGGTCTCCAGCACCAGCCTCTTCCCCTCCTCTCAGCCTCCTCTGGTCCACCTCACCTCCCGTCTGTGCTGATCTCCTAGAACATCAACCCCTTGGTTCTTGAAACTAAACCCCGCCGTGTCATTTTTTTTTTTCCCTTCCTTGTGCACTCATGGAGTTTTATCTTCGTCAGCGAGGTAACATTTTCCACTTTCTCTTCCTGCCACCTCGATTTTTTAATTTATTTTTTAACCATTTCTCCTTAATAACAGCCCTTCGTTCTTCTTATTTCTTTTGCCTTTTTTTTTTTTCTTTCCTTTCTTACTACTCCTCGCCTGCTTCAGTGTGGCTGCAGGATGTGTGCGTGTTGTCGTAGGCGGCGGGTCCTCCGGTGTTGGCAGGCAGAGATCGGAGTGTTGGAAAACGGTTCATAAACAGCGACTGAGAAAGAGCAAGGGCAAAGTGGAATGTTAAGTTGAAACACATGCTGCATTCAGAGTGGGCCGCATGCAAGCTAAGCTCTCGCTCTCGCTCGCTCTCTCTCTGCAGGCTTCGACAGAGCACTTTTCTCTTCACGCCACCTCAAGGTTGCTCCTGTTTTGCTTTTCACGTGGTCGGAAGTCGCGCTAGCACGAGGAGCTCGCTCCACTTGTTGCGGCCGGAGCGATGTAATTATTTTGACCCGCCAAAACGAGATCCTTTATGCGATGGTCAGAGCGAATTGTGTGACGACTTCATCACCGGCGAGCGGCTCGGATCATCAAAGCAGAATCAATTCCGGCGAGATTAGTCAGCGAGGAGTTCTCACACCCCTCTTTTTTTTTTTTTTTTCCTCTCCCCTTCTCTTTTCCCCGTTCCTGATGAAGAATAGATCTGAATTTAATGATGTTTGTAATGAAACGCAAATCCCAGACTAATTACATTAAAGAGCTGTGATCTCCTGTTCCGTGCCTTAGTGAACATGTCATGATATGGTAGAGATTAGAACAGCCTCCGATTTAATACCCCGCTGTGGAGTAGCAGCAGCTGTAGCTATCAGCCGGCCGGGCTGCTCGGCGCGTCGCTGTGGACTCGTGGAGTGTTTATCTGGGCCACGCACGGCTGCCTGATGGGTGTGTCTCGATAGGGATCGCGGGGAGGTTCAGAGGCAGAAGCAGAGCCGTTTCTACCACAAACACAACCCAAAGTCTTTATTTGGTAAAGAAAAGAAATTCAAATTTGAAGGAAGATACCATCATATGAATAAAGAAGTGTTGTGTTTGAAAAGGTAAAATGGAAATGAGAAACTCTAAAATAATATAGTAAGTAATAAACTTTTTTTTTTTTTTTAACTTTTCAGTTTATTTTGTCTATTGCACTAGACATAATTTAGTGAACAACAATAAAAAGATGTAAATAAGATACGATTGAGGGCTTGTCATCATCATCATAATCATCATCATCATTATTATTATTATTATTATTATTATTATTATTATTTAGCAAACTTAAATTAGTTTTAGGGAATTTTTTCTGCTCGACCATCTCAGATTTTTTTCTGTTATATTTACAGAGATATTTGTGAAATTTCAGCTTTATCTATTCGATGCTTTCTGAGTTATATTTCAATTAAAAATCACACACCGATGTAACGTGTTTTGTCATGCATTGAAATTTGAGGCTACCACAATATCTCCGGAGCTAATAAAGATGAATCCAAAACTGAAAAGCACTCCATAATATAAAGATCAATTTAATTTTGACGTCTTACTTCTAGTTCAAGGTTTCTTTAATATCTAATTTCTTTTTTAAATTCTTGAATTAAGTTCGAACCAGCCAGAATGATAATTTAGATCTCAACTGGAAGTCTGTCTTCTAAAAAAATATATTTTTTAGATTTCACGTGGTGAAATGGCGTTGCAGATATCTTTAGCGAAGTCAGAAACCATCGTTACTTCTTCTAACACTTCACAACTACTCAGACTAGTCATAATGACAGTGGAGATATCTGTAACTATTAATCTGACTAGATGTCTCTAACTGTTGTTTTGACTGGTCAGTTATGTGGAATTCTGACTTGTCACCTTAACCACGTTGACGTCAAGGATAAAAAAATCAACATCCATGGCGTCAGGGAGAACTTCTGTAGTTGTTGCAGTAGCTACGGAACAAGAAAGTAATCTTTGTGTTTTCCATTCTGGCCTTATGAGACCTGTTTCATACTTAACTTGCTGTTTTCCGCATGATGTTTATTTTGGGTCCAGACGCCTCGTGTCTGTCTGATGATTATTGGGCTGATATTGAATGTACGAGATGGTAGATTTGTAAATAGATGAGAGTTTGATTGTCCAACAGGTTTTTCTGCTGTCTAGAAAAAAAAAGCGACACCTTGTTTATTCCAGTTAGTTTGGACCAGTGTGACTTCTAATGCTGTCTGGTCAAAATGATGGCATTGACGTCCAGGATGAAAAAAATCAGCATCTATGAAATCATAGTGCACGTCTTTTAAATTGTTAAAAGAGCTGAGCAATCCTCGTTTATCTTGTCCTCCCCTCATTTGACATTCTTAACCCCATTCAGGACTTTCATGTTGCCATACGTAGAAGGTGTTTCGGGGTCCATTGGAAAGTATTCGTTGGTGTTCATTATAGACTTTTATCTAGACTGTGTTAACTAAACTTTCTGATAAGTTGACATATTTTTGGTTCCAAATGCATGACAAATGTCCCTCTTTTATTATTTAAAAAAAAATCTTCAAAAATAAAAAAAACTAATACCTGTCACCTCAACCAAATGGTCCAAAAGACCCCAAAAGTCCTGAATAGAGTTAATTACTCAAAATCATATTGTTTACATGGTTCATTTTCATTTCACATAGTCATAGTGGCTTGCCGTACATGTCAGCACCAATCCGTTTGTTGGTTTTTAACAAATAATTTTACTAAAACACAAAAATGAGAACCTTGTGGTACAGCTGGATATATCCACTGGGAACCATGAAAACTTTATTTAAATAAATAAGTTTCATAGAGACGGTTTAGTTTGAACCGAAGAGGATGACTGACAGACGGACCAATAATACCGTCTGTACAATAACATGCAGAACACTATTTACAAACCTTTTCATGGATAAAAAACACACAAAATAAACCTCTAATCCTCCAAAAAAGGAGACAGAGTAAAAATCTACTTATTTTCTGTCTGTTCACATTAATCACATGAAGACAGAACCTTTTCTGTTAAACTCAGAAATCCACAGTATCTCTTTTACACACAGTCCAGCTCCGTCACATTTAAAATTCTGTTTCCTTCTGTCCTGTTTTTTTTTCGTGGAACCTGTTGAGCAGCACTTCTTTTTTTTTTTTGCACTGATAACGACACTTTCCCTTCAAAACTCCAATATAGTTCAAGCGGCTGTCAGAAGCCATTAAAGGCAGGATTTTTCCCGCCTTAATGCCCGGCGGCAGGCTGACAGGCCCCGCTGCGAGATCCTTCGCGGCCCCCTAAAAGTCACCCTCTGCTGGGCACATAACGAGAGCGTCACCCGGGCCTCCCGCCGCCGCCGTCAGCCTTCCTCTTGGTGACAAAAAGCGCCGCACATGGCTGACACTCGAGATTAACCGCTATAATAACTGTTATCGCACATCTCCTCGGCGTGACAGCCAGCTTGTACTCTTCAAAATGGACTCGGGGCAGCGGTGACATGACACCCGAGCACTGTTTCGTTGGGTTTTTTTTCCTTGTGCTGAAGAAGTTAGCGTTGTCTTTGCAAGAGAGAATTAAACATCTCCAATCACCTAAGTGGCTTTGTTAGGCCGCCGTCACAGAGCACGGCGGGTTTCAGCGCAACAGCTGACAAGGCTTCTTTGATAATTCTATGCTTTGCTCTTTAAAAGAGTCCCTGCCACTCACAGGTTCATACGATCTCTGGCAGTTTTTTTTTCTTTCTTTCTTTAATCCTTTCATTTTCATTTTTTTTAACCTTCCATTTACATTCATGAGCACAGGAAGTAAAATGTTCCCTCCAAACGATTTTCTCTTAATTGCCGATACCTGATTGGCTTCTCAGAAAGTCTGAATAATTTCCCAAAAATTGCTCTTTAGCAGAAGATTTTTTTTTTTCTAATCCTACTTACAAAAAAAATACATTTAGGAGGAGAAGCAGACGCAGGAAAGTGAAGCCACAGAGAATTGTAATGTCAAAAAGTGAGTTTGAAGAAGTGAAAGTGTTGTTGTCCTGGTTTTACACCACACCGCTTTTCCAGTTTAAACCCTACCGTTCTTTTGGCGTATGATTTTCTGCAACATAATAGTTTCATTATTAGTGAAGTAATTACGAGTCAGTTAACTAATGCGTCAATTGAAACAAAACTCTTCGTCAAGCAGTAAAACTTCGTAACTCTTGTTGGTTCCAGCCTCTAAAATTGGCAAATGTCCTGCTTTGTTTTGGTTTTATATAGATACAAAATGAACCTATTTGCTTGCAACGTGTTAGAGTTATTTTCTATATTTTCTGATGCATTTTAAGTTTTATTTGACCTGGACAGCCTCCTTTAGTTAAAACAAAGTCTTGAAGTATCCTGGCCAAGAAAGGCAGCAGTACTAATGAATCACAGACGTCCATCCGCCCAGAGTCTTCGGCTTATCCAGGGTCGAGTCGTGATGGCAGCAGGTGAATGTTTTCCACCTTTTCCTGGGGCCAGATAAGGCCAGATGAGATATATAATCCCTCCTTCCTCGTTCTTGGTCTAGCCCGGGTCGCCTCCCAGTTGGATGTGACCAGAAAACCTTAGTAGGAAGTCGCCTGGAAGGCATTTTAATCAGATGTTGGACCACCTCAGTTGCCGCCTTTTAACGCAGAGGAGGACTTAACTCCAAACTCTCTGTGGATATCCGAGCTCCTCAGGCTATCTTTAGGGCTGAAACCCAGCTATCCTACAGTGGAAACTCATTTTGCATCTCATTCTTTCGATCAATACTAAGAGCTCATGGCAATAGATGAGGGTTGGATCATAGATCGAGGGTCCAGTTCAGCTCTGTCTTCTCCAGGGCGGTCTTGTACAACAACCGCAAAAATCCTTATGTCACAGCAATCCTTATGTCCTTCTAATGCTGCATTTTACCGTCACTCATGAACAAGATTCTCCTTCATTTGGGGCAGCAACTCACCCCCAACCCATAGTTAGCAATCCAGTCCACCGCCTTCTGTCAAGAACCATGGCCTCGGACTTGGACTCTTGGCTGCAAACCGTCCAAGTGTGCTCTGAAGCCAACAGAATCACATCATCTGCAAAAAACCGGACACCCACCTTATCCTGGTCTCACCTCACGATCCTATCCATGAACATCCCTTACAGGATCCGACACCAGGGGCAACTTTAGCAAAATCCAACACCCACCGACTGGATACATGTTTGACCCAAACCAACATTAGAAAAACAACCCAACTGGCATCAGCTGTTCAAAACTTAAAAAATGGCCAACTACGAGAATCCCGAAACAATAATTTACCAAGGAGTTTCCGTAAAGATGCTTGGTAAATGATCAAAAGAGAAAACAATTGATAATGACAGTAACTTCTGCTGCGGTAAAGATGAATCACTCGCTGAAGTCTCGTAGTCCGCGGCACATCAAATAGCTTTACCTCGACAGCACAACTGTTCGCTCAGGTTGGTTACCGACCCAGATCTATGCTGATGACATCTTTTTGAAAGTTTTCTCCGGGCACATTGGCACCCTGAACTTATCTTCGGTGTTCAACAGTCTGGAGCAAAATGATCACAGTGAGGATTCGGCGCTCAACAATAATCAACAGCAACACATTAGCGATCCAGATGGTGCTGACTACACAAGTAAATTAGACCCCGGGCCGTTCGCAAAAAACACACACACCCCCTGTCATCTCGCCACGGAGACCGACGCCGTCCGCCCAATCGTGTTCTCGTGTAGAGTCACAGTAGATTTATTCACAGCCTGACCTATCAAGGGTTTTTTTTTTCTCCCTCTATGCATGTATTGTAATTCTCAATCACATATTAAGTATTCATAGACTAATCTGACATGAACACAGCTGGGTTTTCCAGCTTGTGCCATATTTTTTTCCCCTCCCTTCCTGCCTTTTTTTCCCGAGGAATTGTATGCAAATCCCAGCTTTGCTGAGGAATAATAAGCAGGAGCGGTGATGAGTTCTGGTCCAAGGTGTCACCTCGGAGAAGAAGTGTGTGAGGGGAATGTTGCTCTGGGCAGGAGCCGCGGTACCTCCGAGTGGCCAGAGAGGGGCAGTGTTGTGTCGCGGCAGGAGTAGGTTTAGCCGCGAGGCATTTTTTGGGGTGGCGGGGGATTGTAGGCGTAAGAAGGAGAGGAGGAGGTGGTGGTGGGGAGGTGGTGCGCCAGTGCCAATGTTACCCTTGGCAACCTTGATTAAGACAGGATGTCGTTAGCACAATTGCTCTTGTGATGATTACATAGTGAGGATTTCTGCCCACATGTGCAGGAATGAGCGTTCTTTTTTTTTTTTTTTTTTGCTCGGGCAGGCTGTGGGCAGCTGAGAGGCTCGATTCCTTTGCTTGTTGTCTCTCTGACAGACGTGTAGTCTGGAGCGCAGATAAGCAGACAGACTGGGAGTGTTGTGAGTAAGAAGTTGTGGGTACAACAAAGACGAAAAAACAATAATTGAACGGTTGTGCGCGCCGCGAAAATATTATGACACCAAAGTCTGCACACGAGCAGCTCGCGGATGCAGGCGGCTTCATCTGCCCTGCTTTTGTCACATCCACAAGGTCAAGCGCTGGTGTTTATGAGTGTATAATGCTGAGCTCTTGTTTTAAAATCGCCCTTATTAAAGCACATTTCTGTCCTCTCTTTCTCTCTCTTTTTTTTCCTTTCCAACAGATCGCCTTCTCCCAGCACAGTAACTTCATGGATCTGGTGCAGTTCTTTGTCACGTTCTTCAGGTGAGCAGCTCTCCTTCGATTCACTCACTACAGATACGTTAAAGCGTCTCCTCCAGTGCGAACGCGCTGATGGATTGACGAGGCGCTGCAGCCCTCAGACGCCGGTTAGACGTCAGCACACATAATGTACATGTGCAAACGCGCCAATCCCATTATTTCATTCACCCACATCAAGAGCACACAGACCCACTCAGTTCCTTTTTTTTCCCTTTTTTTTCCTAACCCATAGCATCTCTGTGGCCTGCCGGAGTAAACAGAGAAAATAGATCTGCTGAAAATCAAACCGCTCTGAAAGATGTGTTTGTGTGTGTGCTTTAACCCAGTCCAGCATCCCTCCAAGAAGTGTTCACATCTGACTCAGCAGCACATGAATTATGCCAGTTACCTTCCCTGCAGTGCCAAAACCGGACAGACACACAGTTGCACAAGCATGCCGTTGTGTGTTTTTATGGCAAAACATGTTGCTTGCTTAATTTACACGGCGGCTACGGTCATGAAGGTGGATTTTGTTCTGATGCTATTGTGGCACCGTTGAGCAGGAGTCCGGGGTTCCTTTGTGCATTCGGGTGAACTTATTTGCTCCTTTCTCTGCACGAGTTTATAATAGAAATGTCTATTTATGTGTAGGAAAACAGAAAATAGAGGAACATAATGCAGGGAGGCTTTCAGGCGTTCTGTATTGCTTTCAAATCCTCATTCTCCTCTGGATCAGTCTGTCTCATGTAATGTCATCCCTGCTGATTCAACTCACACATACAGGCCTGATTTACTCTTCTGTCCTCTTTTGTGGCGTCTGTTTGGGGGGAAATAAACACTTCATTTATAAATCCCTGGACTTTAATAGCTCAGGTGTGTTTCAGTAAGGTTTCTGCTCCTGTTTAAATGTTTCGGCACATTCTGATCATTCCTTATTAGTAGCCGTTGGACGTATTGTTGCATCTATCCCTGTGATTACTATCTCAAAAACAATCAACTTAAAGATGCAAGGTTGCTTTAAATCACTGAAAAGTTGTTTGATACTCGCCAAAATGTGGTCATAAACTGATCCATGACTTTATTAATTTGATTTAAATCATTTTTTTACAAGCTGTAAGCCCAGCAGTGACATATTCTAAACACTGACATGAGTATTTGTTTGGACTCATGTTCATGTTTCAACCGGATCAATGTAACAGCAGCATTTATCCTCCTTCTTGGTTGGTTTTGGGCTTAATTCAGTCCTAGCCCTCTGAACGTTCTGGGTTTTTTACTCACTGTAGGCTCATTTTTGACTGCAATATACCTCCATGGAAACACAACTATGACTAGAAGGAAAGATAACTCAAAAATGTCTTTTGTGAGTCCTCCAAGGTAGATCAGTGGTTAGCACCGTTGCCTCACAGCTAGAAGGTCCCGGTTTGCGTCCCGGTGAGGACACCCGGGATCTTTCTGCGTGGCATCTCCCCGTGCAGCGTGGGTTCTCTCCGGGTTCTCCAGCTTCCTCCCACACAGTCCAAAACATGTTGAGGTTAATTGGTGATTCTAAATTGTCCGTAGGTGTGAATGTGAGTGTGCTTGGTTGTCTGTCTCTAAGTGTAGCCCTGTGATAGACTGGTGACCTGTCCAGGTGAACCTGCCTTCACCCTGAGTCAGCTGGGATAGACTCCAGCCCCCCATGACCCTAGTGACGATTAAGCGGTGTATAGATGATGGATGGATGTCTTTTGTGCATCAGAGCCCAGTTATGATATTATTATAAGTCGTTAAAAAAAAGTTTAATCCATAGATTTTTTTATTTTTATTTTACCAAAAATGGAAAAACCTGGAATCAGCAGAACTCATCGATGTTAACGATACTGTCTCTATACAATACTGCTTCCACTCTCGTCTCCTCTCCGCTCTCTTTGAACACTGCCTGCAGTTCAGCCGGAAAGTGTCTGAATGTTTTGCTGCACGACTGTTGATTGAGTCACTGAAGGCTTCATGGTTGCACAGCAGAGCACAGACTTTTTGTTTTTTACAGATTCTGGTTACAAAAAACTGTGAATCTTTTTTGGCTAATTTTAAAAGAAAAGGTTTGATTTTGATTCTATGTCAATATTTTAAGTTTGGTTCCCAGCCACAGATGAGTAGCTCAAGGACCATCAAAATCTTCAAAACCCACAGATTCTTTCTGTTTTTACACTTTCTGTCTCTCTTTTCTTTAAAGACACAATACTTTTCGAACCCACTGGCACGTTAAAGAGACGGATCGCCTTCTCTGGCTGTTGAACGCTCCCGTGTGTTCACCAGCGAGCCACTTACGCTGAATGCATGAAGGCATTTGTTGCTGGGCAGATACTATACAGTGGCTCTGACGGAGCTTTTTTCCATGAGAACAGCTGCCTGCTGCAGCAGCAAACAATGCTGATGAGATTGAACGAAGGCAGTGAAGTTGCAAACCTCTCTGTAGAACTGAGGGCAAGTCAGGTCTTTTTGCTTCGGCGCTATAAATATCCGCCTTAAAACTGCATGCGGTTGCTTTTTAACTGTAAAGGAAAGGTTTATTAGAGCAGCTTCAATGCAGTCTGACTGTAGATTCTTAAATATCTGTCGACATTGTCGGAGTTTAAATACAGGTAGATCCAATATCATCATCCTTTGTGATGGCATGAGGCCGTTTCCCCCTATGTTTACGTCTCACTCATATGTTAGCATCACATAAAGCCTGTTTATCTGCCTCCTTCTGCATTTTTACTGCCGCTGTATGACGCTTCCATTCACTCAGATGTTGAAACGTTGAGCGTTTGATGCTCGTGATTCCATGTGATGGCATGCAGATTGAACTATTTCTGCAGTTTGCGCATCACTTTGCACACATTTTCCCGTGACACATCCAATATGTCAGCGCGAATCACCTCCGGATCTCAACCGGAATTTAAAACGAACTCCTCGCGGACCGTCGGCTGAGCAACGCGCTGCTTTGTAATGATGGAGATGCCGCTTTTTTTTTTCTTCTTTTCTTTTTTTTTTTTTGTTGCTGGCAGTTCTGGAGAGCGTGCATGCTCTGATGAATCGCCGAGTCTGTACTCCTACTTCTTCAGGAACCGCTGTAATGTGTTATTGATTTTGTTCCTTAAAAGGGCCAAAAACCGCAAGTGTGTCCTTAGCATGCCTGACTGCATGCGTGTTATTTCTCTCTGGCATCCTGTTTGTGGACTCAGAGGAGAATTGTGGGACTTTCATACTTCATGTCCTGGAGAAAAAAACAAAAACAAAAAAACAAAACAGTTCCAAGTCCTGCTGCTCTTATTGATCCGGCTGCCATGTAAAGGCAACCAGACTTGATGGGGCTGATTTTGAAGGATTTGTTTGTTTTTATATGTGATGTTCAATAACAGCATCAACTGGATAAATGCTCCTTGCTGAGGATTATTCAGGATTCAAAGCGGCAGCAGCAGCAGCAGCAGCTCGCTCATGACGCTGGTATGTTTGCAGATACGCGTTTGGATGTTTGCATGTCAGCAATCGAAGTCTTTCCTGCAGCGATCCATCTTTTTTTCTCTCTCTCTCTCTCTCTCTCTCTTCCCCCCGTCGCCTTTTCCTTCTTTTTCATCTCACCCCTGTGTTCTCTCTTTTCCTCCTTCACTCATCATTTTTACATTCCCCCATCTCCCCCTCCCCGCCACGCTATCTCCCTCCTTTCATCTCTGGCTCTCCATCTCCCCCTTCTGTTCTGTTTTCCTCCCTCATTCCTCCTTCTGTCCCTCGATTCCTCCTCTGTCTATCCGTCTGCAGCCCCCCTCCTCCCTTGTTTTCTTTACTCCCACCACTCCCTCACTTGCTCTTAATCCCACAGCACTGTCTTTTTCTAGTTTTTTTTTTCTTTTTTTGATGTGTGTGCCGCCTGCCACTGATTCAGCACAGATGAGCGCAGACCTAAAGTTAGCGAGCTCGCAGCCTCGTCCCTGTTTGCTTCTGGTTCTTCGGGTGCCACATTGTTTGTGTTGCGGGGGAGGAGAGGGATGCTAATTAACGTGAAAATTGTTTGCTCGTCTCTGCTCCGACTTTTTTTTTTTTTTTTTCCCTCTGCGTCTTAATCTCGCTCTCGGTTCTTCTCTCTCTCTCTCTCTCTCTCCCCCCGTGCCATGTTTCCCTGTGGGGACAGATGAAGGTGGTGCCATCGCGTTATCTGCAGTGCCAGCACAGATCCCCCCACCAGCGTTCTGCAGCCGCAAAGCAGATGCATTAAACATCAGCATTAACAGCAAACAGATGCGTTCACATATTCACGTCCAGCTGTCCGGCAGCTCCTCACCTTAGGCTCGCTGTGTTGAATCATGGCTTTTTAAAGTGAGCAAACACTTTTTTTTTTTTTGTGCACATATCAAGCAAAGTCAGAGTCTCAACATTTAGAGCAAACTTTTCCATGAATGTTTAACAAATTGAATGTTGTCTCTACTTGTGCAAATTGAATGTTTTCTTCCAGGCCTGGAAAAGCCCTGGAGAATATAAAATTTCCAAAACATTTTTGGAAATGCAATGAAAATGTATTCTTGAGCTTCTTCTTCTTCTTTTTTTTTCCCCCCTCCTCTCAATCTGTCATGTTTTTAATTTTAAACTTGGCTGCTGCTAAAGCAGGCACCCTTTGAAGTAATAGTGACCTGAATGACAAATTTCTTGGCTACGTAAGTCCGAACTGCTGGATGGAAGAAGCTGAAAGAACTATCACAAAATGCTGCATTTTAACATTGCACACTGGGACATATTTGTCATGGAAGTATTACTGCAGTTTTGCCTGTTTTTGAAGTCTGACTTTATACGTCTTCTAGCCTACATTTCTCCCTCCGTCTTCAAACGAGGGGGGGGCGAGAAAAAAGTTTGTTTGCTTGAATAGTTTATCTCGTTTATGAAGCAAATGCTCGGCGGCGGTTCAGCGAAGGTGCAGTGAAAGTAAGGCAACCTACAGAGGTTACGTCTGTGTGTCTTGGAGAATTAATGGCACTTGAATATATAATTAAGCCAATTACATAAGACGACTT